AAGACGTTAAAGACAAAGGGCTTATTAAAGGTAAAGTGCAGTTAGAGCAGAGTGTAAATGTTCAATCATAGACACAAGAAAAGAGAAACGTTTTTAACCTGGATTTAAAAACTGCTGTGTTTGGAGCTCATTTAAGATCTTCTGGCTGTTTTTTCCAGTTGTAGCAGCACAACAGCTAAACACTGACTGGCTGTCCTGGAGGGTATTTAACAAAGCATTTTTCAGTTTAGCCAGATAACTTAAGCCCAAAGTCAAACTAGTCCAACAGGAAAAGAGCTGAGGGACATTCCTATTGGACAGTCCTGATCTCTTGGCTTAAGTTGTCTTAATCTTGCTTTGTGGAATCTCCCCCCCTGACTCCATGAATCTAAGAGACGCTCTCACTCTCTATTTGTGTTATATCAGAGACGTATTCTGGGCCGGTAAACATTCAGTGATTCTAGTAGCAGATCTTTAAAATCTATACTGTAATTAACAATGATAATTCACACATATTAAGCTTTTTTGCGCACTGTTTGACGACTGTTAAAGAAGGAGATGATATTTGTGAAAAAGAAACCAACTCTGCTAATTGTTCACATTTTTGTGCTCTTTTGTTCCATGAAGTTTCCTTTATTGGCTCAGTTATGGCTCTGAATGTCAGTAACTTTAGCTGAGTTAATGTTATCCAGCCCTAGCAGCAGTTCTGAAACATCACGACTTAAAAACATCTAGAACATAAAATACTATCTGTATATACAGTTGTATGCAAAAGTGTGAACGGCCTTAATTAAATGACATGCTTAGGCACTGCGGGAACTCTTAACGCTTGTTAGGGGTGACCAAGCCTTGATAAAGTTGGACAGTCAATAATCTAGGGGCGGAGTTTACTGAAAAGAGCACATTTTTCATGTTATTAGTTTAGAAAATCAAGTTTTCACAAAGTAGTGGAATAAAAAAAAATCTGGAAACAATTTTATGAAAAACAGATACTTGATACCACAAAATGATCTCCAAATTTCTCTTTTTGGTGCTTTTTTAATTGTCTGAAGTGTATTCAATAAAGCAAGCAAAGCAAGATACCTAGCAGAATAACACACTGTTATTCTGCTGTAAGATGTGTTTATTTTTACTGTATGCAGAATAATTTTTTTTCTAAGCGAAAAATAGAAAAACATCCTCACACTTAAGACTTAAATACATCAACATTTGTTGACTTTCAAAGTTAAAACATATCTCTGTAGAACAAGGAGCTTAAATGTGGCACATTTTACTGCACAGTTTTGATTCATTTGCTGAGTTTAACATATTTGAAAACATAAAAATGTAAAATAACTTTTCCACAGGCCACATTTTGTTTTGATTCTCTTCCTAATTTTCTAAATTCAGCAAATAAACAGTAACTGTGTGTTAAAATGTGCTCTCTGTAGAAGATGTGTTGACTTATTTTCCCAAATTGTGAATGCAATTTTGCCAGGGGCGCCCAAATTTTTGCATACGGCTATAAGTGACCGTGATCTGCTGCTTAAAATTCTTCTTTAAAATTCTTCTTTAAATCTACGTGATTAGGGTGAGTGGCATATTCATTATTCAAAACGGTGGATTTTACCGAAAGGCTACGGTGCAGTTAACGATGTACTTAAAAGGCCGATTCGATTTCTACTGGTGCCAGTGTCCCTTTGGCCCCGCCCCCTGGATCTGTCCCTGAATGATAGAACTCCTGTCTTACCAAAGAAGTGTAATCAGACAAGTCTATAAACATAGATCATAAAAAGTTTACAGTCATGTACACATACCAAAGTCCAAACGCATGCGCTGATTGAGAGTCATGTAGTCGCTCTTTTATGTGAAATGGTTGCCCAACACAGTGGCTGGTTTATGTGTAGTGGATGCCAACTTTGATAATGTCTCCACGAAAGCAGTTTGGCACAGTAAGGCTGATTGTCAAGGCAGAGAATCTTTAATCGAGGCTCAGGCTTGTTTATCTGGAAATCGTTTTTTTTAATGTTTTACTAGTTTGCGAGGATGTGGCAGGTGTGGAGTGTTTGCAGGTTCTGCATTGCAAACAAAATCCAAAACCGCAATTTCTCTAATTTGACGTATATTGCTTCTGTTTCTCCTTTCTTCCCCCCCCCTTTAGAGACTGGTTCAGCATTTTAGCTGGCATTTCACTGTGAGGTATTTAATCATAAGGTTAGAAGAGGAACAGGAGAATAAACAGCACGAAAGACCAAACAATACATCACCTATTACGAGTTTGGGATGCCTTCACCATCGTAACGGCCTTGGTCTTTTAAACATGTTTTGAAGGTTTGCAGGGAACCACGCAGGTCTTTTTGAAGGACAGTCATGGTGGGACTGTATAAGAACAAACATCACTTCACTGGGTCGATTACCAAGGCTGATATCACCTGCTGACCAGCTCCAGCTACAAAATATGAAAGTATTTGTTTTGGACTTCAGTATCAAGAGGAAAAGCACTATTCTAGCTGTCCAGCTGTTATGGTTTAGGAGACGGGAGACATTTAAATATCTCCTCCAAACTCTTACAGTATCAGCTGTGATTTAGACGTATCCACACCCAGTGGCACTGCGTAAACGCTGAACGCTTGTTAGAGGTGATCAGGCCTTGTTAAAGTTGGATATCAGTCACAAGGGGCAGAGTTTATTGAAGGGAGGGCGCTGATTGGTTTGCTTCAATTTGAAAGCATATCATGTTATTTGTTTACAAAATCAAGTTTTCTTCCACTTCAGTGTAACCAGTAACAACACATTCACACAGAAAATAGTGAAATATGAAAATAATAAAATATACAAAAGTTGGGATACTGTGCAAAATGTAAATAAAAACAAAATGCAATGATGTGCAAATCATTTAAACCCTATATTTAATTGAAAATAGTGCAAAGACAACATATGTTGAAACTGAGAAATTAAATTTCATATTTTTTTAAAATATGCACATTTTGAATTTTATGCAAACAACACGTTTCAAAAAAGTTGGGACGGGGCAAAAAAAAGACTATAAAAACAAAAAAAAACACCTGGTGATTGATTGGCAACAGATCAGTAACATGCACGATCAAATAGTGCAACAATTCAAGAAAAAAACGCTTCTCAACATAAAATAACAAAGAACTTTTATTAAACAAAGAACTTTATCATTAAAAGACTCAGAGAATCTGGAGAAATCTCTGTATGTAAGGGACGAGGCCAAAAACCAGTATTTGCTGGCCGTGATCTTTGGGCCCTCAGGCAGCACTGCATTAAAAACAGACATGATTCTGTAGTGGAAATCACTGCATGGGCTCAGAAACACTTCTGAAAACCACTGTCTGTGAAAACAGTTCATCACTGCATCCACAAATGCAAGTTAAAACTCTTAAACACAAAGAATCATGGACACTGTGTCCTCCGGGCTAAAGACCACTCAGCTTGTTATCAGTCCACAGTTCAAAAGCCAGTATTCATGATGGTGTAGGGGGCATTAGTACACATGGCACGGGTGACGTGCTCATCTGTGAAGGCACCATTAATGCTGACTGATATATACAGGTATATAGCAACATATGCTGCCATCCAGACAACGTCTTTTTCAGGGAAGGCCTTGATTATTTCAGCAAGACAATGTAAAACCACATTCTGCATGTATTACAGCAGCATTGCTCCGTATTAAAAGAATCTGGGTGCTAAACTGACCTGCCTGAAGTCCAGACCTGTCACCACTGAAAACATCTGGCGCATTATGAAATGAAAAATCCAACAGAAGAGACCCTGAACTGATGAGCAGCTGAAATCCTATATCAAACTAGAATGAGGAAACATTTCACTTTCAAAACTACAGCAGTGTCTCCTCAGTTCCCAAACGCTTACAGAGTGTCGTTCAGCACAGTGGTAAACAGGCCCCCTGTGTTGTTGACATCAGATTCAAAATGGCATATATTTTTCACAAAACAATAAAACTTCTCAGTTTCAACATTTGATATGTTGTCTTTGTAGTATTTTCTTTTAAAAATATGGTTTACTTGATTTGCACATCATTGCATCCTTTTTTTTATTTACATTTGCGCAGCGTCCCAACTTTTCTGGAAATGGTGTTGTAGATATTTGGAAGAAATACCACAAAATGATCTCCAAATTCCTCTACTTTGTGCTTTTTTCAGTGTCTGGAGTACAATTGATAATGCAAGCAAACTAGCAAAACACACGCTGGGATTTTGGAGTGTGACTGTGGCGAAGGTGCCGTCCTTCGACAGTGTTTATCTGTGGAGATTCCATGGCTGTGCTTGATTTTATACACCTGTTAGTATTGGGTGTGGCTGAAACACCTGAACTTAATAATTGGGATGGGGTGTCCACAAAATTTTGGCCATATTGCCTGTGATAATCACTGATTTCAGAAAGCATCCTAATAACTGATTTTTCTGCGTTTGAGTCATCACACTCACATCTGCTGCACAGAAATTCAGAAGGAGCGGAGGAGGAAGAAATAGGAGAAGTGATGTTTTATATAGCACGAGGACGGCTCGATCTCATCAACCGAAACATTTTGTTGACGAAAAACAGAACTACTGTGTTAAGGAAGTGTGTAGGTCTTCATTAGAATTGAACTCCTTCCTATGTTTAGCATTCACACAGAAATATGAACCAACGTACCACCCATAACATCTGTATCTACTCCTGCTGTGTATGCATGTAGTGATATGCTGACGTTTGGTGAAAATAAGTTAACACATTTTGGTTTTAATGCCCCGTTGCTGCTTGTTTGATTAATTTATTACATTCGGGGAAAAAGTCAAACTTAAAACACAGCCTGTGCAAAAATTACGGCAAATTATGCACCAAAAATAGCAAAAAGATGTCATATTTAAGTGTGTTCTCTGGAGAGGATGTCTTATTTTCACTGAGAAAACCACCATAACAGGTCATTTAACTGTTCAGACTTTTGCATAGGACTGTAAATAAGGGGAGACTGAAAGTAACACTGCCTTATTTTGGTTGCTTTTTCTCTTTTTATACAGGCATAAAAAACTACTGTTCCTCCAATTTGACTTCAGCTGCGCATACAGACTAGATCTGTGGGTCCATCAAGTGGAACGTCATGAATGGACTGAGTGGACGTTCGAGGAGAGAACCTCGTCAGCGGTCCACTGTCACCGGTGTAATCATGGAAATGCAGTCAGGTCACTTGTGTCAGTCAGAGATTGAGTTTTCTACATGCCTAAAAAAGCATATTTAATTCTATAAACCCTTTATGTATGTTTTCATTGCAGGCTGTGTGTCTTTCCTCTCTGAGAAGAGCTCTAACATTGCTGAAGTGTTGAATTGCTTAGTTGAGTGTGGTGACTGGAAGTCCTCTGAAAAAAAGCCTACAGGATAAGTCATTATAGGACATATACTAATCTACAAAAGGGCTTGACTTGAAGGGGAATGTCAAATTGATTCAGTGATTCAGAGTGGTTTGGTGTGAAAGGGTTCAGATGTCTTTACAGTGGTGGTGATAGGAACCAGGGGTCGCCATGACTACAACACAGATATAGACATTTTATTTACTATCCAGAACCACCAGTGAACCTACACGAGTCTTCTGAGTTTATATGGAATGTTGATGATGGTAAGATCAATAAATCTAGGGGAAGAAAAGTTCTTTGTGGACTATTTTGCCTCACAACACCCGGCGTATACCCCTCCACCATGAATGTGTTAACCACATTCAGCACCATGTTCGTAACCATTTCATGTAGTAACTTTCTGTGAGGGAGCTTTTAGAGGTGGACGTCTGGTTCCTATCACCACCACTGTGAACAGTTCTGACTCTAGAACGGAGCGTGTCACACCAAACCTCTCTGAATGGCTCTGTTTACATCTTAACCACTTAATTATGCAGAAATGTTTAAGAATAGGTTGCATTCCCCTTTGAAATAAACATTATCTTTATGTATAAACATGAAGATAAAATATATAATGTTTTCCCTTTGTGCTCAGTGTTTGAAGGTCCACCTTATTTTTATGCTAAATAGATTTTTTGAGGTTTTCTGATGACAGTGGCCGTATGTAATTGTAAAAGTAGAAATGGGCCAGACTGATAACCATCCACTTGTCCAGCTGTTCTTTTTCATAGTTTGTCCCAAAGACTTCCACTCATCGTGTTAACTAAGCATCATGTTCTGACACGTCTTCAGTCTGCATGCTCAGCTCTGAGAGGAACACGTGGGTGACTGTGGTGCTGGATATGTAGAAACAGAGTGAACCAGCATTTTAGCTCAAACTGTCTCTTTAATGCCCAGCAAAATAAAAGTTGATTTATGAGAGGTGATGTCTACATGTGTTTAAGAACAGAGTTATCATTCAATTCTGCTTTGTCTGCCTCTATTTTGTCCAGTTATGAGGTTCCAGTTATGAATTAAAGGGGAATTCCACTGAATTTTCAAAATTTCAGCATAATTCTGTGGTTGAATTACCACAAACAGAGTGACTCAGAGTGGTTTGGTGTGAAATGGTTCAGATTTCTTTACAGTGGTGGTGATAGAAACCAGGGGTCACCATGACTACAACACAAATATAGACATTTTATTAACTATCAAAACCACCAGTGAACCTACACGAGTCTTCTGAGTTTATATGGAATGTTGATGATGGTAATTTAGCAGTAAATCTGAAATAGTAAGTTTTACTCACAGAACCCTGCATGTATCCCTCCACCGTGAATAGGTTTTAAGGCCAAAATCTTCTCCAAATTATCATAAACAGTGTCTCAGTCATCAGGCAGTGAATTCATAACCATTTCATGTAGTAACTTTCTGTGAGGGAGCTTTTAGAGACACTTCACATCAAACTGCTTTGAGTGACTCACACCTTGACCATTTAATTATAGGAAATTGTGTAAAATTAGTGGAGTTCCCATTTAAATTTATATTAAGGCTCAGTCAGGAGTGTTGAAACATTCAGCTTGTGAGAAAAGCAGAGAAAGGGGACCAGCACTGATCTAGAGGAGGTTATTCAGAAGGTTCTATGGCGGTGGTCACCAGCCCTCCTCCTGGAGACCTGCTTTCCTGAAGAACCTGTGTCTCATCCCTGCTGCAACCTCACCCCCCCAAGCTTTTGAACTAATCAACTTCTTGTTTCTGGAGAAGCTGATTAGCTGGAGCAGGTGGTTGGAAGTAGACCCGGCAGAAAGGTAGATCTCCAGGACCAGGTTTTTTGACCACTGCTCTACAGTTAAGTAAGCATTATATTGAAATATGTATTGCCAGATGATTTGGGGCCACAATAAATGATTTTTGAGTATATTCTTTGTGTTTGAGTGAGTTAAATATGTGCAAAATAGCCTTTGTTTTGATAAATGCACACCTTTAGTTGTGTTTTATACGCTCTGTGTGCAAAAGTGAATAAATTATTGAAATTTAAGTAGCTGAGCAACATGAACTTTTTTCTTTTTTTAAAGAAATACTTGTCTTTATATATCAAAACTGATGTTTTCACTCCATGACTGTACACTCTCAGAAAAAACAGTATTAAACTGTCACTGGGTCAGTGCCCCTCTTATCACTGGGGTGGGACCCTCAAGGGTCCATCTCAGTACCTTTAGTCAGGGAACATAACTGAACCATAATCCACTGAAATGGTATGTTCTAAGCTGTACTGACTCCACACACCCCGTCTCGTCTCCAGGCTTTTATTTTACTGTTCTGTTTAAAACATTCGGTTATAAAAAGGTACAAATACGAACTTTTCACCTGGAAAAACTTATTTAAGGTTCACAATCAGACCTTAAAACCACTGTTGAACCTTTGAGGGAACATTTACACTGTTTGTACCTTGATGACTAAAAAATGTACCTGAACAGAACCTTTATTTCTAACAGGGTAGAAATATCAAGCTGTCAAATACAAGTGAAGATGCAGTTGGAGATTAGCAAAATTTAGTCAGTCCTTCTTGCTTCCCTTTTCCCCCTAAAAGAGCTTTGACGTCAGACTCTTCACTGAAGTATAAAGACCAGATAGAAGACCTGAAGAGGTAAATCTAAAGCTATGAATGGCTTTGAATGGAACTGAAAGGTCTACTAATTTCTCTGTTAATCAGATAAGACCCCGCAGTTCCTCTGAGCTGTTATTAGAGACCAGATTGTATCTGACTGACCTGTGACGGCTGTTTTGTCATGCGATTTGTAGTAAACATTCGTTTTGAGTGGTGAGACATTCAGCTGTGTTTCATTAGTGGTTTGTTTTGGATCCAGAGAAGCTTCACAGCTCATTTATTAATTATGTTTACAGTTCAGTTCCCCATATCACACCTTTGGGACGTGATTTTGGATCCTTTTTTGAGCTTTTTCTTGCCAATCAGCTACAGTTACGCCGACAGGAGCTGAGAGGTCAGCTGTAATAGACGCGACCGTGGTGGAATCAAACCGCCCACTTCTCTTCTGGATGAATTCCTAGCAGAAAAAGTGAAGTGAGATGCCCTTCAGATTCATCAACACAGTGTATCAGCCTGATTTGGGAAAAGTACATGTGAAACTGTCTGCGTTCCCACTGAGACGAGGCGAAATGTGATGCATTTTTAATCGCAGCTTAGTGAGTTGCTCGCGCTCTGTAGGGTCACCTTTCTGGCAAGTGGTCTGACCACTTGTATCTTGGAGGAAAGTGCTACGTGCCTTGTTATGGGGGCCTGTAAGGGCCTGTGAAGATCTTGGAAGACCAGTTGAGGTGCCTTCAAGTCATGGTGCCCTTCCAGGAGGTCCTGTTTGAGGTCCGGAAAGTTCTGCAGGATGCCCACCCTGACCTCCTGCCCGCTTTCCTCACCCAGCTTCTGGAGGCCCAAGTGTTTTCAGCTCAGTACTTCCAGTCTCTCTTCCAGTGTGTGGACCCTGACCTGGGTGACGTGACAGATGTGGAAGACTTAGCCAGGAGACTTGCTCTTCCCATTTGGCAGAAATGGGACGTTAGCAAGGAAATCCTCTTCTCTGCACTCGGGGATACAGAAGAATCCCAGCCAGACATTTGTGGTAGGTTAATCTGTGTCTTTGATGTTTCTTGATGTGGTAATGTGGACTGTACTTGGGAAAACTGACGCCTGAAGAGAGTATTCTAATCTCTACCTGCAATTTTTTTTGCTTGTAATCATTTTCAATGCTCTGTTGTGAACAGAAAACACATTGATATGAAATACACTTTGAGCAGTTATTGAATTTCATCAGAAAACGTTTTTTCAAAACAGTACTGTGCAAAAGTCAAAGAATACCCTTAATTTATTTAATTTTCTGTGAAAATGGCCATTAAATACAAGTTATTTAATTTTTTGAAAACTGATTAAAAGCTACAGAGAAAATGGGCCTCCTAAACAACCACCTGGAAGACCTGACAGGCACCAAAACTGCCCCTATCAGATAAACAGCACTTAAAGCTTTCATCTTTAAAAGAGAATCTAGTCCTGTGGAGCCACAGGTGGAAGGGGAAATTTCTAAACCAGTCCAACACCTCATGAACACGGCGCTCAAAGTAGAGGGTGATGATGTGCTCATCCTAAAGTAGCCCTAAAGTAAGTTGGCACGGCTGAAAAGTCCCCCAAACAACTCAAAGTAAACATACAGAAGAGTGTAATTGGGAGCATATTAAAGAGGACACAGCTGAGAGATTTGTGGGAGGGGTTTAGAGGGGGGTCGTACCCTTGTTTGTGGCAGATTTTGCTGCAATCCAGCACCAAATGTTTGATAAGTTGCCCCCAGATGTGTATTCATATGGCATCTGGCCCTGCGAGGAGAAAATCAAGCTGCTTCAGATCTGAGAACATCCACAGGTGTGATGTTGAGTCCAGACCTCAACACCACTGAATGTGTTTGATTACTTCAGAAAATCATCAACCAGCTTCTAAGACTGAACTTTGGAGGTGTGTCTGCAGATTCTTTGAGGAGCTGAAAGTGAGTCTCCTGAAAAGAGTGGAAGCTGGAATAAAGGGAGAGAGAGACTCACTGACTCACACAGCTGAGAGTAGATTTAGCTGTTGAGGCTTCTTTTAAATGTTCTGTTGTTTTCTGGTGCTGAAAAATTTGAAATGACCATTTTTAAAAATGATTTCTGACTTTTGTGCAATTCTGTTTCTGTCTAATCTAATATTTCACTACATGAAAGTGTTATAAAAATATTATAACACATTTCTGGACTTATTTTAAGCAAAAGTGAAATCTTACTGTATTTGTCTTTCAGAAATAATGTTTGAAGGAGGTAAAATGATCTGCCAGTGCAGTAAGATTGTGCTATTCAATAAGATCACATCTTGAGCAGTCGTATAATATTCCTATAACAATTTCATAATTGAGCAACAGAGCATGATAATAGTGCATCATTGCAAATAACATCATGGCTGTGATTCGGTCGCAGGTACGAGCTGAAGGTGAGTTCGGTAGATCCTCATTATTCACTATAACACACGACCTAAAGTGTTCTTCTGCTTTAATACAGCAGTTAAAACAAAGAACAGAGTAAAGCAAATAGTCCCCGAACATTTTATCAAACGTGTTTTAATAACAGTGGCTCCTTCCACCAAAAAAAGTAGTCCCCATTCTGTGTTACATAGCCATAAAACTGTGAATATCAGGTTGAGCTCAGCTTTAATCAGGAATTAATAATTCAATAATTATTACCAGAAATAAGACAATAATTATTACCTATTCTATGTAGTTGTTGAGGTGTCTGTGTGTGTAATTGTGTGTGTAGGGAACAGACTGTGTCTGACTGACCGCTGAGGGCTGGTCATATGATTTGAAGGAAACATTCACTTTGAGTAGTGAAACATTCAACTGCTCTCATTAATGGTTTGTCTTTGTTCATTTTGGATCTGAAAGAACTTGACTTAACGTCTTTTAGAGGTGGTTTTGTATTGTTTTTGTTCCTCCCACAGCAGCTTTACAGCTTATAAGTTATCTGCTTTTTAAAGACTCATAAAAGAATTATTTAACAGCCATTTTGACTGGAAATTAAATTAATGAACATTCATTTTTTTGTGAATCTCACAAATCCTTCAGTTAAAACTGCTTGTAAATGATTTTTTTACCGAGACAATTTTACCCATAGGGGATTATTTCTGGTAGTTAGCGGAGTGGTGGTGTGGCTCCGATCTGTTTGCACATGAATTGTCCCTGAATAGCCTGATCTTTTTATGTATGCAATCATTCATAACAATTATAACACACGTCACTACAACATACACCACCACTACACTAAATGGGTAAATTAACAGCAGCAAAATAATCTAAAATAACAAAATAAATATTGCAAAGTACATATTGCACTTCTGCACACCTTAGCGCACATCTTTCACATCTGGACACTCCACACCTAGTCACTTTATCTCAGTACCAATATATGCACATAGAGGGTGTCCCAAAAAAACTGACATCATTTGAGATGTGAGTATCTGAGTAACTACATGTCCAGGCAAACTAAATTAAATAGGCTTCATGTTGAACAATACAAGATTTATTTATCAAAATTCAAACAAGAAATTCAGAGGGATGTAGATTTTATAACCCATTTCACAGCTTCACAAATGTAATATCTTCTGATACTGGTGGTCGTCCAGATCCCTTTGCGCTGCACAGACAGCCTTCCTCTTTGAATTTTTTGTGCCATGTCTAAATTCTGCTTTCCAGTTGGTGCATTTTTACTGAATTTTCTCAAAAATGCTGCTGCACTCTCGTTTGACTGTGTTTGAGCATATTCTAACACACAAAACGCCTTTTCATTTCTAGTGAACGCCATTCTTCAACCGGAAAGAACATTAAAAATTAAACTTGGTTAGTTTTTACACATTTTGTTAAAATTTGAGATAATTTGAGGAATAATTGGCTGTTATTAGACTACAAAATGATGTCAATTTTTTGGGACACCCTGTATTTATTCAGTATTGTCATTATCTGCTGTTACCTGAGCCTAATTGTACAGTCATTACTGCACTGCCTTTTTCTCAGGTTTTAGATCTTATTGGATATTTTTGTATATTTCTAGTTGTATTTATACCTGTAGATGTTTTTTTGTATGTATTCTTCTTTTTATATTGTTTCCCCTTATTATTATAACTGTCCTGTGTTGTGTGACTCACACTGGCTGCTACCTTTTCTTCAGGATCAATAACGTAATAAAGTAAGTAAAATCTATCTATCTATCTAAAATGAAAGTCAGACAAACAATAGAAACATAAAAACTAAATAAAAAAAATTATGATGATCAGACATTAGGGGATTTAAAATATATTGCATATCCAAGGAAAGTGTTGCTCTTCATTTATCATTTTAAAAGAGATAATCAAATTTTCCATTTCTATTTTTAAAAAAATGTTTTTATGCATAAAATGTTTGGCAGATAAAATAATGTAAAGCTATAATTGACACCATACTCGAAGGCGGTACCAGAGTTTATGTAATAAAATGGTGAAGACTGAGGCCAGTGAAGAGCCTGATCTGCTCCAAACAGGAGTTTCCTAAATGATATCATGGCTTGAATCCAGGGCTAGTTTTTGTTTTTCAGCATGAGGAATGGAAATAAAGCCTCATCTAACATTGCATCCAAGACTGTATGCCTCCTCACCAGAGGGCTGTATACTTGTAGCACTTCCGCTTGTGATAACATCCACAAGGCTGCTTCTGTGCCGAAAACAACCCACCCACGCCTATCCCAAATACTTGTTTCCTGTCACACATTTAGGCAGTTCTGGCTGGATCTCTGGAATTTTCTGGTATGTACGCTCTGGGCGCTCTGCTGAACTGATAACATGGCAAGTGTTACAGTCTTAAAGTTAGGTAGTATCTAATATGTCTCATTATAGTCCTGACAGCACAGTTCTGATTGGTCGAGTGCTGTATCCGTGCTGTTATTATCACGTTGATTTGCTTTACGCTGCAGCTGACGTTATGTTTCCACTTTAGCACGTACAAAAACAGAAAATGGACACATTAGATAACGTCTGTGTGATAATATTTGACCTGCGGCCCTTTTGGTCAGATTCTGAAGAAGAGAGTGACCATAGAACTGCATCAAAAGTGAGCTTTTCCATCAACAAACAACTAAACAAACTATAATCAGACAAAAACAAACAGGATACAATTCAGCAAACAAGATGTGCTGTGAAACTGACTGGAACTGAACCACATCCAGCTTCGTCTGGACAGACACTGAAAAAGCTGAGCTCAACCTGATATTCACACAGTTTTATGGCTCTGTAACACAAGAGGGCACTACTTTTTTTGGCGGAAGGAATCACCAATGTAAAGCACATTTGATACGATGTTGAGGATTATTTGCTTTACTTAGTTCTGTATTTCAATCGCTGTATTAAAGCAGTAGAACACTTTAGGTCGTGTTTTATGGTGAATAATGATGATTTATTGAACTCACCTTCAGCTCGTACATCCGACCAAATCACAGCCATGACATAGAATAGGTAATAATTATTGTCATGAATTATTTATTCCTGATTAAAGCTGAGCTCAACCTGATATTCACAGTTTGGCTATGTAACACAGAATGGGGACTACTTTTTTTGGTGGAAGGAGCCACTGTTATTAAAACACGTTTGATAAAATGTTCGGGGACTATTTGCTTTACTCTGTTCTTTGTTTTAACTGCAGTAATGAAGCAGTAAAACACTGGAGGTCGTGTTTTATGGTGAATAATGACGATTTACTGAACTCACCTTCAGCTCGTACCTGCGACCGAATCACAGCCGTGATGTTATTCGCCATGATGCCCTCTCCTCATGCTCTGTTGCTTAATTATGAGTTTGTTGTAGATGTATTATACTCCTGCTCAAGATGTGATCTCTTTGAATTGTATGATGTTACTATACTGGCTGATAATTTTACCATCTTCAAGTATTATTTCTGAAAGAAAAGCGCAATTTTGCTTAAAGTAAGTCTAGAAATGAGTGGAATATAATATACTTATAACACTTTCATGTTTGTAAAATATTAGATAACAGTACGGCACAAAACGGCCATTAAGTATAATTACATTTTTCAGCATCAGAAAATAACAGAAGACGTTTAAAAGAAGCCACAACAGCTAAATCTACTCTCAGCTGTGAGAGTCAGTGAGTAACTCTCTTCCTTCATTCCAGCCTCCATTCTGTTCAGGAGACTCACTTTCAGCTCCTCAAAGAATCTGCAGACACACCTCCAAAGTTCAGTCTTAGAAGCTGGTTGATGATTTTCTGAAGTAATCAAACACATTCAGTGGTGTTGAGGTCTGGACTCTGGGGTGGTCAGTCCATCGTTCAGCTTCTTTGTTTGATGTGTCCGTCTCCTTTTCTCAGTGAGGTTCTTCTTGATCAGCTACACATCCTTTCAGACCCACAGCGCTGAGTCGTCTTCTCACAGTGGAAGGATGGACAGAAACACCTGTGGATGTTTTCAGATCTGATCAGCTTGATTTTCTCCTCTCTCTCAGAGATGAAAGCTTTAAGTGCTGTTTATCTGATGGGGGCAGTTCTGGGGTCGACCAGGTCTTCCAGGTGGTTGCCGAGGTGTGGCCAGAGGTGGCCACTGATAAAACCTCAGTAATGCTTTATGGTGAGTTTGAAGACGCTGCGTTTAATAATTAGCATATCCTGCTGTGATTGGCCAATCTGCTGACCAAACAGACAAGTGAATTTGTGCTTAGTCTTTTGTTTATTAGTTTACTTTTGTGTTCGTGTCATGTTTCAGTCATGTGGAAATGATGGACAGATTTAGAACAGAAAATATTCAGAACATCACTTTTTATGTCACCTGGCCACCCCATTCTAACAGTTCTAGCTACACCCCCGGGTGGTTGTTAGGGGTCCCATTTCATCAAGATCTTTTGTACCTGATCTCCTCCTAAATAAACAACTCATGTTTAGTGGTTGTTTTGAGTGGGAATAAAATTTTGCACAGTACTGTGTCTCTAAAAAGTGATGTGTTAAATAAAACACTTGTGTTGCCTGTTTTAACACTTTTTGTGTCACATTGTTTACCGATTTAACACAATCTGTGCTAAAAGTAACCCAAAATGTGTCGTCTGTAACGGAACACACTGTTGTGTCAGGTTGGAGACAGGATGTGTTGTTTATTTAACACGTCTGTTTTAAGAGTGTTTTGCCCGTTGTGTGAGACAGGTGCATGTTTTCCATGATGTTGCTGGGATGATCTGGTCTAAAATGGCGCTTATTTTTTATTTACATCATAAAACGCCTCACTTGTGATGTAGAATGAATACGAGATTGCTAATACAGTCGTGTCACATCGTATAAGTGTATTTATACACTGCAAAATGATAATATTGCATTAACTTTTTGTTTTTGTACATGTGCACGTGCTCTGCCTCAGATAACTCTTCGTGAAATTGTCATAATCAAACACAAAAACAGCAGTTCTGTCAGTTTACATCACAAAAAGAGCTGTGAACTACAGCTAAAATGCTTCACCTTGGCAGAGCATCCTTTTTGTCTTTGTGTCTTTGCAGCACCGTCACCCCAGAGGAGACAAATCTTTCTTAAGAGAAATAAAGGAAGATCTCAATATTATATTATGCAGCAAAGTGAGAAAGTGAGTTTTATTTCTCAGGAGCCAAATTTTAGAAATGGGAGAAAACGGCCTCAGTCTCACTCCGATTTCAAACTGGACTTAACCGTGTCTCGGAGAGGAACCTGAGATCAAGAGGATATTCATTTTGAGTATTTCTTTCCTCTGGGACTGTCAATGTTTACTCTGGGGGGGGGGATGGCGGTCGTGCTGTGGTATGGCAGTAAAACATCTGTTCAAAGTGGCAGCTGCTGAGGTTTTGAATGGAGGCTTTGTCTGTAAGAGAGCTCTAGTTAATGGGCAGCACCGGTGCAAAAATAAAAGCAGTAGCTTGTTTCGAAACTGTCTAAACTTTAACACCATTTGGCAAAGGACAGTGTGGCAGGACAGGCGCTGGAAAGACTCAGGCTTTCCAGAGCGTATTTTCCTGGACGCGGTGCCAAAGGGCTAGATGATGAAGGGCGTGTCAAGTTGAAACCTTTTTTTTTAGCTCCAGTACAATATAGTGTGTGGTTTGGTTACGAAGCTCTGCTAAGTTTAGGTGCTTCCTGCTGAGAATGGCGGACTGATACAACTGGCAAATCCACTAAGCGACAAACAGAAACATCTCAGAAGCCCTCATTCCTGCCCTGCCTGGCATGTTGTGCGAGACAAGTGCATGTTTTGATAATCGTGTCTAAAAGGCACTTATATTTAAATTCACGTCATAAAAGCCTCACTTGTGACCTAAAATGAATACGAGATTGCTAATAGTGTCTCGTTATATAAGTGTATTTATACACAGCAGAATCGTTATATTGCATTAACTTTGTTTCTGTACATTTCAGATAACTCCTCATAAAACTGTCATAATCAAGCACAAAAACAGCAATTCTGTCAGTTTACATCACAAAATGACTTGTGAACTGCTGCAGTTTTGCACTACTTTTCCGAAATTTCTTTTCCAAAATATACACAGTGGTGGTGATAGGAACCAGACGTCCACCTCTAAAAGCTCCCTCACAGAAAGTTCCTACAGGAAATGGTTATGAATTCACTGCCTGATGACTGATACATTGTTTGTGATTAAAAGTGTTATGTATATCTATATCTGTGTTGTAGTCATGGCGACCCCTGGTTCCTGTCACCACCACTATAAAGACATCTGAACCGTTTCACACCAAATCACTCTGAGTCACTCTGTTTACAGCCCACACACTTAGTTATGGAGGAATTTTGGAAAATAGGTGAAATTGTCCTTTTTTTAAAGACCCATCCCATGATGCAAATTTAGCACACATAATTTGAATGTTATTACATTTCTTCTGTCTTTTTGTCATTTTCCGTGCCATAAAAATTAAATAACGTGTTCCAATATTAGACACATTTAATAAATTGCAATAAAAAAACTGCAATAAAATCTCAGTATTATTCCTCACTGTGAGCTCTTTAAAATTATAGCAGCTCCTTATCTGAGATATTTGTTACTGTAGATAGCGTCCCTGAGTGACTCTTTGTTAGACGTTAACCAAAACCCCCTTAAGAGTGAAAGCGAAAGCTGCACTCAGCTCACAGGCGTTCACCAAACCAAACACACCAGCCAGCGCGCTCTGAGCACATCTCATTACCTCACGCTCCTCTGAGTAACACCGTATTATGGAATAAAACCTCCTTTAAAAACCAGGATGGAGCTGCTCCATGAAATAGGTGATGCTGATCTTTATCTGGTCTTTATTGTTAATGATTGTGTGAATTTGACACTTTTTTTTTTTGTTTGTTTTTTTAAGTTAAAGCTATTTTTGTAGGTGTAAATCAGATTCTCTGCACCGAAAGGTGTTTTTAATGCTTTTTAATGCTTTTTTAATGCTTGTTTTTTGTTTTTAATTGTACATTTCCTGTATGATGTGTGCATTTGTGTGTTCCACTTTTTTATGCACCTGCATGGTCAGAGCTCCGGCGCTGAAGGATGTTTTGTAAGAGCAGATGGACAGTAGTGGTTGTTGTGGGTTTTTTTGCGTGATGCTCCTCAGATCATTGTAAGAGGACCTGTTGGAGTTTTGGCCCACAGGAGCGATAATCGTGTATGTTATGTATTTAATGTAATCTTATGTAATTAATGTGCGTTTGTATTGTGTTTATTGTTACATAGCTGGAAATGATGACCCGATTGCCCTTGATCCACAACTCCTGGAGCTGATACCAGGTGAGAAACACTGTTTTTTGCCTTGTGAATTAGGTGTATGTATTGTTAAATAGCAGCACGGACCAAAATTTGGCCCGTGGCCCAGTTGACTGGTTTAGTCTCCACCCCACCCCCTTACAGATCGAGAGAACCAACATTTCTGTGCTGTTTATAGCTTCTTAATTTCTTATTTTTTCTTTTAAAATGTGTATTTATGAAGAGTTGTAGTAAACATACTGCGAAGTTACGCATTTTTAAAGTTTACTAGTTTGTGTATTTGCATATTTTGTCTAAGCCCACCACTGTCATTGCCCGGAAGACGAAAGGTTTGGGCACCCCTTCTCACAGAATACTGTGAAAAGTAGTGACGGCTGAATACTGAATACACTGTCCACTATTGTGATAATCGGGTCTAAAATGGTGTTTATTTTTAAATGTACATCATAAAAGCCTCTCTTGTGATCTAGAATGAAGACAAGATTGCTTATAAATTAGTGTCTCATTATATAAGTGTGTTTATACACAGTAAAATCATTATGTTCCATTAACTTTATGTATCTGTGCATGTGCATGTGCTCTATTTCAGATAAGTCCTTAGAAAATTGTCCTAAAAAAATTGTCCTAAGCACATAAACAGCAGTTCTGTCTATTTTCATCACAAAAAAGACTTCTGAGCTACTTACTTAATAGAAATACTCCCTTTCACATATGTGCAATACCCTCGTGTGCAACACCACAGCTGCTACATTCCTTTATATCCACTCTCTTTATTTTGCTTATTTTACTTTTATAATTGTACTGTAAATTATTTTAGTTTAATTTTCTATTTTAATTTTAAATCATATAGTCTTTCTTTTAATATCTTGCATTCTATATTTTACATTAGCCAATATTTTTGCTTTATTCCTTAGTTTATTCTCTTTTGGTTTATGGACTGTTAGGATTGCTACCCAATGTTGTCATGCCCTGTGCAATAACAGTAAAGAATTGAATCTTGAATCTTAAATTAAGTGTAAATTGTGCTGATTTTCCAAAATTAATCTTCCAGAATCCACCTCTAAAAGCTCCTTCACCCCTGCTCACAGATGGGCAGAATACTGTGAAAACCAGTGATGGCTGAATACTGAATACACTGTCCTCAATGTATTCAGTAATGTATGTTTGTATGCAGATTACATTTAGAATACATTTAGAATGCATATTGATAAGGCACAAGGGAAAAACTCCTCTGTTGTCATTTTTATTTAATTCACTGTTTTTCTTATGTAATTTTTCTGTTTATATGTTTCATGAAAAATTCACTTAAAATTCTCAACATTATTTTGGCTCTCATTGCCTGCTTTGTTTCACTGCTGCTCCCATAATCCCACTTTTGCTCCCATAATCCCACTGCCGTCTCATGAACTAAGCAAACAATTTGCCAAATCTCAATAACAAAATGTTGCAAATGTGACTATAAAGTGGAATTTTCAGTTAATAACATGTATTAATGTGTGTAACGAGCCATGAAATGCATGTATGAGTCCAGTACAACACCAATGCTGTGAGATTAATAACTGATTATCGCAATGATTTATCAGTCTATTCAGGCTTTAGCAGAGCTCAGTAACGCCGAGATTAATAACTGATCATCACATTGATTTATCAGTCCACTCAGGCTTTAGCAGAGCTCAGTAACGCTGAGATTAATAACTGATCACATTGATTTATCAGTCTACTCAGGCTTTAGCAGAGCTCAGTAACGCCGAGATTAATAACTGATCATCACATTGATTTATCAGTCCACTCAGGCTTTAGCAGAGCTCAGTAACGCTGAGATTAATAACTGATCACATTGATTTATCTGTCTACTCAGGCTTTAGCAGAGCTCAGTAACGCTGAGATTAATAACTGATCACATTGATTTATCTGTCTACTCAAGCTTTAGCAGAGCTCAGTAACGCTGAGATTAATAACTGATCATCACATTGATTTATCAGTCCACTCAGGCTTTAGCAGAGCTCAGTAACGCTGAGATTAATAACTGATCATCACATTGATTTATCAGTCCACTCAGGCTTTAGCAGAGCTCAGTAACGCTGAGATTAATAACTGATCATCACATTGATTTATCTGTCTACTCAGGCTTTAGCAGAGCTCAGTAACGCTGAGATTAATAACCGATCACATTGATTTATCTGTCTACTCAGGCTTTAACAGAGCTCAGTAACACTGAGATTAATAACTGATCATCACATTGATTTATCTGTCTACTCAGGCTTTAGCAGAGCTCAGTAACGCTGAGATTAATAACCGATCACATTGATTTATCTGTCTACTCAGGCTTTAACAGAGCTCAGTAACACTGAGATTAATAACTGATCATCACATTGATTTATCTGTCTACTCAGGCTTTAGCAGAGCTCAGTAACGCTGAGATTAATAACTGATCATCACATTGATTTATCTGTCTACTCAGGCTTTAGCAGAGCTCAGTAACGCTGAGATTAATAACTGATCATCACATTGATTTATCAGTCTACTCAGGCTTTAGCAGAGCTCAGTAACGCTGAGATTAATAACCGATCACATTGATTTATCTGTCTACTCAGGCTTTAACAGAGCTCAGTAACGCTGAGATTAATAACCGATCACATTGATTTATCAGTCTACTCAGGCTTTAGCAGAGCTCAGTAACGCTGAGATTAATAACCGATCACATTGATTTATCAGTCTACTCAGGCTTTAGCAGAGCTAAGTAACACTGAGATTAATAACTGATCACATTGATTCATCAGTCTACTCAGGCTTTAGCAGAGCTCAGTAACACAGATTAATAACTGATCACATTGATTTATCAGTCAGGCTTTAGCAGAACTCAGTAACACAGATTAATAACTGATCACATTGATTTATCAGTCTACTCAGGCTTTAGCAGAGCTCAGTAACACTGAGATTAATAACTGATCACATTGATTCATCAGTCAGGCTTTAGCAGAACTCAGTAACACAGATTAATAACTGATCACATTGATTTATCAGTCTACTCAGGCTTTAGCAGAGCTCAGTAACACAGATTAATAACTGATCACATTGATTTATCTGTCTACTCAGGCTTTAGCAGAGCTCAGTAACACAGATTAATAACTGATCACATTGATTTATCAGTCTACTCAGGCTTTAGCAGAGCTCAGTAACACAGATTAATAACTGATCACATTGATTTATCTGTCTACTCAGGCTTTAGCAGAGCTCAGTAACACAGATTAATAACTGATCACATTGATTTATCTGTCTACTCAGGCTTTAGCAGAGCTCAGTAACACAGATTAATAACTGATCACATTGATTTATCAGTCTACTCAGGCTTTAGCAGAGCTCAGTAACGCTGAGATTAATAACCGATCACATTGATTTATCAGTCCACTCAGGCTTTAGCAGAGCTCAGTAACGCCGAGATTAATAACCGATCACATTGATTTATCAGTCCACTCAGGCTTTAGCAGAGCTCAGTAACGCCGAGATTAATAACCGATCACATTGATTTATCAGTCCACTCAGGCTTTAGCAGAGCTCAGTAACGCTGAGATTAATAACCGATCACATTGATTTATCAGTCCACTCAGGCTTTAGCAGAGCTCAGTAACGCTGAGATTAATAACCGATCACATTGATTTATCAGTCCACTCAGGATTTAGCAGAGCTCAGTAACGCTGAGATTAATAACCGATCACATTGATTTATCAGTCTACTCAGGCTTTAGCAGAGCTCAGTAACGCTGAGATTAATAACCGATCACATTGATTTATCGGTCTACTCAGGCTTTAGCAGAGCTCAGTAACACTGAGATTAATAACTGATCACATTGATTCATCAGTCTACTCATTCGCCTCATTTACCAAACTGATTGACCTCTTGGCCCCTGTTTTATCAGACTCGCTGCTCCAGGATCTGATCACCTCTGATTTCCTGCATGAATTAGATTTAGGTGAGTTCACTGTTTCTCCACTCATATTAATTCCACATATGTATGTTCAGTAAGACTGACACCGCGCCTTTGTGTGCTTTCCTGCAGATGCTTTGTGTGCTGAGCTGAAAGAGGACTATGACCACGGTAAGGCATTGTGGGATTTTACAGCACACAAGCATTATGTATGCATGAATGAGCCGTTCCACCAATAGAGGACAGTCTTACAAGTAATGGTTACTGGTTTGGATGAACCTGTAAAGGTGTAGAACCTCTTTGTTATGTAGGTTCTTCACACTTAAACAACTCGTTTACAAGCTCAAATCCACTGAAATATATATAATACCATTATAAAAGTTATGAAATAAGTATTACACATTGAGAAACTATACATCATACTTTTTACAAATATTTTTTAAGTTTTGAATTTGAAAACCTTACTTGTCATTGACCCTTGTGTTATTCTAATGTTGACATTTTTCAAGCCGAAATACAGTTACTCCTGAGATATGTTATTTTTAATAATAATAATAGAATAAAAGAATATAAGAAGAATAAAAGCAACTTTTACCACAACAGAGGATTAACTCTAGGTCATTCTTATCTTCCATTATATTGATTAGCCTTGTGTTAAAAACAGGACAACCACCTAAAATGTAAATTTTAAAATCAGATGAAAGCTAATCTGAGCAAATATGGATGAAGATTCATGACTACAACACAAATATAGACATTTCATTTACTGTCCAGAACCACCAGTGAACCTACACGAGTCTTCTGAGTTTATATGGAATGTTGATGATGGAAAATAGTGGAAAATCTGAAATAATAAGTTTTCTTTGGGGACTATTTTGCCTCACAGCGCCCTGCATGGTCCCCTCTGCTATGAATTTAAGTGGTTTAAAATTGTGTTTTGAGGGAGTTTTTAGAGGTGGACGTCTGGTTCCTATCACCACCACTGTGAACAATTCTGACCTTATAACTGAGCATTTCACACCAAACCACTCAGAACGACAGCTTAATCATCAAATTAGGCTGAAATTTTTAAAGGTTAGTGGATTTCCACTTTAAGGATGGCTGCAGTTTAGCCCGCAGCATGAGAACAGCTTTTCCGAGAGGTTAGAGGCTAATTTGCATATTCTAGCTCATTTGAATATCAATATTTTGCTAATAACTGACTATCTGACTTGTCTGTCTTGTCATGTCCTGTCAGGGGAGTGACTGTTGATGGTTGTGTACCACATCACCTTATATCTATATGACTATGAATAAACGATGAGTTGTGATTAGTAATATCACAGTTTTGCCTCAGAGTGGCATGAACCTAAATGATTTGATGTTGAAATGTGTTTTAGGCCAAAATCTTCCCAAAACTGTCGTAAAACAGTGTCTCAGACATCAGGCAGTGAATTCATAACCATTCCATGTAAATACATTTTATAAATAAAAAAGTAACAACATCAGCAACAACAAAACAACAACAACAATAATAATAATCATAATAATAATAATACAACCCCAATTCCAAAAAAGTTGGGACGCTGTGTAAAATGTAAATAAATTTGAATAAAACCAGAATGCAATGATTTGCAAATCTCATAGACCCATATTTTATTCACAATAGAACACAGAACACATATCAGATGTTGGAAGTGAGACATTTCTTGAACAACATGAACTCATTTAGGACTTGATGGCAGCAAAGCATCTCAAAAAAGTTGGGACAGGGCCGTTTCTACCATCGTATAGCATCCCCTCTTCTTTTACAACAATCTGTAAACGTCTGGGAAGTGAGGAGACTGAATGCTGGAGTTTTGGGAGAGGAATGTTGTTCCATTCTTGTCTGATGTTGGATTCTAGCTGCTCAACAGTTCTGGGTCTTCTTTGCCGGATTTTTCGTTTCACGATGCACCAAATGTTTTCTATTGGTGAAAGGTCTGGACTGCAGGAAGGTCAGTTCAGTACCTGGACTCTTCTTCTGCAAAGCCATGCTGTTGTGATGGATGCAGTATGTGGTTTAGCACTGTCTTGCTGAAATATGAAGGCCTTCCCTGAAAGAGACGCTGTCTGGATGGCAGCATATGTTGTTCTAAAACCTCTACATACTGTTCAGCATTAATAAAGCCTTTCCAGATGTTTAAGCTGCCCACGCCATAGGCACTAATGCAACCCCAGACCATCAGAGATGCAGGCTTTTGAACTGTGTGCTGATAACAAGCTGGATGGTCCGTCTCCTCTTGAGTCCGCAGGACACGGCGTCCTTGGTTTCCAAAAAGAATTTCGATTTCGATTCATCTGACCACAGAACAGTTTTCCATTTTGCCTCAGTCCATTTTAAATGAGCTTGGGCCCAGAGAAGACGGCAGCGTTTCTGGATCATGTTGACATATGGCTTCTTCATCATCAAGTTCTAAATGAGTTAATTTTCATGAAGTGGTAAAATGTCTCACTTTCAACATCTGATATGTGTTCTATGTTCTGTTGTGAATAAAATATGGGTCTATGAGATCTACAAATCTACAAATTATTGCAATCTGTTTTTATTTACATTTTACACACGTGTGCAAAATTTTTTTGGAATTGGGGTTGTAAATAAAATAAAGACACTTCTAACACAGCACAGGATTAACTATAGGTCATTATCTGTCATTGTACAGGTTACGCTCTTGTTAAAAACAGTATAACCACCTAAAATGTAAATTTAAATATCTGACAAGATAATCTGAATCTGTTTTAACCGTTGTTTGACAGTCACTCCTTAGGAAGAGCTTCCAGAGCTTTTGGGCCATAGTGACTCAATGCCACCTCTTTGCTCCTTGGCCTGTTTTAGGGACTTTCAGCGTATTGCTAGTAGATGACCTAAGAGCCTGAGTAGGAACAAATCCAACCATCTTTTCATTCAGGTAGAGCAGTGCCAGACTGTGAAGACATCTAAAAAACAATCAAAGAACTTTGAAATCAGTTCAAGTGAAGTGATGGGAATGCTGGGCCCTCTTTCTCTAGCGTGTCAGGACACGAGCAGCTGCCTTTTAAACTCTTTGCAGGTATGAGCTCTTGGTTAGGGCAGACAGGAGAGCGTTACAGTAGTCTGGTCAAAATCTGATAAAGGGGAGGGAATGTCCCAAACCTGTCTCAAAGCTGTTTTGGACATTATCAAAAATGACTCCTGAATTCTTCACGCAGGTTTCGGCTTTCAGGGATGAGGATTACAGATGTCCTTCCTCTGTACTTCATTTCCAATAACAAGAACCTCTTTCTTTTCCTTTGCTTAGTTTGTCAACCATGTGTTAATTTCACATATGCAGCCAAACAGGACACTGATAGACTTGTAATCATTCAGAGCCAGGGACAAGTACAGATGGGTATCTTCTGCGTACTGGTGGGAACCAATAGTGTACTTCTTAATTATACCAGAAAGTGGAAACAAATAGAGGCTAAATAGCAAAGGCCCCAAAATCGATCCCTGTGGGACCCCGCAAATTACTGCATAATGTTTAGAAGCACAGTTGCCAAATGCGGCAAAGTGGTCTCAGCTGCTTAAATGCGATCTAAACCAATTTAAGACATTGCTAGTGAGACTCACCAAGTTTTGTAGAATTTGGTGATCAGCCATATCAAAAGCGGCACGTAGATCTAGGAGAACCAAATCAGAAGTGTTCCCAACTCTAAGATTATTTAAGACGTGCCATAAAGCCAGATTCACGTTTCATTAAGATGATTTCTATTAAGATAATTGTTTAGCCAGACAGACACTACCTTTTCATTGCCTATATACACTATGTGGACAAAAGTATTGGGACACCTACACATCACACCTACAGGAGCTTTTATGACTCCCATTCTAAATCCATAGGCATTATTATGGAGTTGGTCCCCCTTTGCAGCTCTAACTGCTTCCACTCTTCTGGGAAGCTTCTACAAGATGTTGCAGAGAGTCTGTGGGAATTTCTGCCCATTCATCCAGAAGAGCATTTGTAAGGTCAGACACTGATGTTGGACGAGAGGTCCTGGCTCACAATCTCCGCTCTAGTTCATCACAAAGGTGTGTGATGGGGTTGAGGTCAGGGCTCTGTGAGGGCCAGTCAGGTTCTTCCACACCAAACTCACCCAGTCAGGCCTTTATGGAGCTGCTTTGTGCGCTGGGGCTCAGTCATGCTGGAACAGGAAAGGTTCTTCCCCAAACTGTTCCCACAAAGTTGGATGTGTACAACTGTCCAGAATGTCTTGGTGCTGAAGCATTAAGATTCCCCTTCACTGGAACTAAGGGTTCTAGACCAACCCCTGAAAAACAGCCCCATATCATCATCCCTCCTCCACCAAACTGTACAGCTGGCACAGTGCAGTCAGGCAGGTAAGGTTCTCCTGGCATTCGCCAAACCCAGACTCGTCCATCAGACTGACAGATAGAGAAACGTGATTCATCACTCCACAGATTACGTTTCCACTGCTCCAGATATGCCAGATATTATTGCTAACGGGTATATTAAATCAAGAACACAGCCTTCTAATCTTCATAGACAGACATTGACAGTAGAATGGGTCGTACTGAAGAGCTCAGTGACTTTACATGTGACACCGTCATAGGACGCCACCTTTGCCACAAATAAGTTTGTGACATTTCCACCCTGCTAGATGTGCCGTGACAGCTGTCAGTGCTATTTTTGTGAAAAAGAAGTAACAGCTCAGCCACAAATGTTTAAACCACACAAACTCACAGAGTGAGTTAGAGGTAGGCCCTTTTCTATTCCAGCAGGACTGAGCCCCAGAGCACAAAGCAGCTCCATAAAGGCCTGACTGGGTGAGTTTGGTGTGGAAGAACTTGACTGGCCCTCACAGAGCCCTGACCTCAACCCCATCACACACCTTATAGTTGTCCACATACTTTTGGCCATATAGTGTATAAGGTGGGACAGTGGGTTTTGATGACTTCCTGTTTACAGTGTGACACTGGTTTTCCTCTTGAAAGAGGTGAAAAAAAAAAGCATTTGTGTAAAATATATACTGTAAAATATATGTATATATATATATATATATATATATATATATATATATATATATATGTTCTGCATGTATAAAAATACTACATATATGGACGGTTACAGCTAAAGGTCATTTGTCTTTGGTTTACTATATTGCCTTTCTTCTCTCCTGTCAGCTGTAAAAATACGTCTGATGTGTTTTTGTTGTCTGTCTGTCTGTCCTGCTCCCCGTCAGGTGAAGCAGCTGAGTGTCCTGCACCGGCGAGTACAGAGAGTGAAAAGGAGGAAAGGCCTACGAGGAAGCGAGCAGGTAAACACCGCTCCTCTGTTTTAAACTGCTTTCTAAACGTTCCCTAAAGATCAGACAGCTGAGGCTCTGTGTGTGTGTGTGTGTGTGTGTGTGTGTGTGCTTCTCATCAGCGGGAGAAAGAGCCCCGAGGAAAGCGCCACGCCTCAAACGCAGAAAAACAGGTAACCTCACCTGCAGCAGCACTGGATCAGCATGCAGGGCTGCACGATAAGGACAAAACAATTGCAGCTGTAATGTAACTGACTGTTTGCAGTATTATGATTGATATGATTAATCGAACCCAGACCCTTCTTGCTGTGAGTCGGAATTATCAGAGTGAGAAATGGTGAAAGGTTTAACTGAGGAGCGTATAAAGCAGGGGCGTCAAACTCGGCCAGTAAAAGGACCGTATTAAAAAATCTCATCAAATCTGTGGGCCAGAGAAAAATTAATTTAATTAATTATTAATATATTAATTAATTTAATTTTTAATTAATGTTGTGTTGTAACCTGAACTGACCATTGTTTATTCAAAATATGCAAAAACTTCAGCAGTAAAATACAGACACTTGTAGTCGACCTTGAAATATTACATGAATACTTGAAATATTCCTAATTTAAATGTCCCCAGGTCTTTTAAACCTACCTATCTGCTTGAACTGGACACCTGTCATCCTTTCTTTACTGCAAGTTCATTAAGACTGGGGCCCAGTTTCTGAGCCGCTGAGCTGATGTTAAGTCTTTATGTTGGTTGAACTGCAGCTGAAATGCAGTTAGTGTGCTTGGTGATATGACTGGTGTGGAATTGTGTAGAACTGAGGTGTAACAGCTGTCCTATAGACTGTTGTTGTGGTAGGAGAGTCAGAGCGCACATTACATTGCAGTGCATGCTGGGGACTGTAGTTCAGTGCAGTGTAAAACGGGCTAATATTGATAGAAAATTTAAATACTTTTGCTGGCCGGAGAGGATTGCGTGGCGGGCCTGATCTGGCCCACGGGCCTTGCGTTTGACATATGGCGTATAAAGCCTGACTCATGTTGTCCTGATCTTCTGGAGTTTAGAGCTGCTTTTATTTAAGTTTTGAATTAAAGACCAAACTCACAGCTCAGTGACAAAACTACTAACAGACTCTAAAGTAAGTTTAACTGTTATTTAATACTTATTTTAATATGAAATCTATTGATTTGTTAAGATTGGTAAGACAACTACTTGTTACCTGTTTGTAGCTTCTGTTGATGATAAACAGGACTGATTAAAATGACTGATTAAAACATTTTATGTAAAGATGAATATTAATGCCACTTTTTGTATTGTTCCGACAAAATCTGCTTAAAGATCTTGTGTAAAAGACGGCGAGTCGTCCTCAGCAGCTCACATCGCTCTGACTAGGTCCAGTGGTAGCTTTAGCCTTAGCATTTGCCCATCTGAAGGTGCTCCGTATTAGATATAAAAACCTGCTGCTTTAATGTCAGGTGGATAAATGATTTCCCTGCTTAGATTAATGTAAACATGGATTCCAAAACCCTTTTTTGTCTCTTTAAAGTGGCCATAATTCATATTGTGTCAGGACTGAACGCCCTGCAAAGCCGGTTTATGAAAAGTGAACGAAAAGTGTTGGAGATGTTCTCCTCCGTCTGCTTCTATGGAATTCTTTAGTCTGCTAACACAGGTGTAACAGATACTGCAGGCTGAACTGAAAGTTTGATGCCATAGCAACAGTAACTGAGAGAGACAGTCTTTTCAAACTTTTGCAAACAGTCAATTAAATATAATTATACCTAATGCAGGATAATAAAGACGTGACATGATTAAAGATTAGCCTGTGTTGTTTGGGATCATCCTGAATACGTGGCATGGATGGAACTTTTACACAGGTACATGGTTATATAACTGGTTACGGGAGTAGATAAGGAAGTACATTCATATTTGATTTACATTCGAAAAATGACAAACATCTAAAGCATGATTTCCTTCCCGTAACACTGTGAATTCAAATCATAGAAAAATATCTTCTCTTCTACTTACAAACACAAATAAGGTATGGATTGAACGTTTAAAATTGGCACTTTCCACATAATTTCTCCCCTTGTTTCACTGAGCTATCAGTCAGAAAGAATTAATATTCTTTTTTTTTTCAAAATTTCTGCATAACTCAGTGTGTGACGTGAACAGAAAGATTCAGAGAGGTTTGGTGTGAAATGGTTCAGATTTCTTTACAATGGTGGTGAAAGGAACCAGGGGTCTGAGTTTTATATGGAATGATGGTGAAATAGTGGAAAATGTGAAATAACTTTTCTTTGGGGACTATTTTGCCTCAAAACTCCCTGCATGTTCCCCTTTGCTATGAATGTAACTGATTTAAAAATGTGTTTCAGGCCAAAATCATGTATCAGACATCAGGCAGTGAATTCATAACCATTTCATGTAGTAACTTTCTGTGAGGGAGCTTTTAGAGGTGGACGTCTGGTTCCTATCACCACCACTGTGAACAACTCTGACTCTAGAACGGAGTTCCTCTTTCAGGATGGCTTCACAGCGTGAGATCAACAACTTTTCTAAGGGGTTAGAGACTAATTTGCATATTCCAGCTGATTTGAATATCAGTATTGTGATAGGAATTGACTGTTGATATATCGTGCAGCCCTGCACACTCATTTCATGCAGAGATTTTCTCTTTAATACTCATTCAGGTCTCAGGCTTTGTGTAAATCATAAGTGAAACCTTTTGTGTTGCTGGTAATCCATCTACTTTAGTCCAACCCAGCACCGAAAGTCCCCATCCGCAGGACAAATCCCATGTGATTGATGTGAGCCCGCCCCCGCTGCCCCAGCTTGTGCATGTTCCCCTCACCATCGCCACTGCGCTCAACAGCGCCTCTCTGCTGCCCTCTAGTGGTAATGCACTACTAACACCATCTCACTTATTTGTTTACTTGGTTTTAGATCTTTTGTTTTGTGGGCTGATGTTTTGTGTGCGCATGTGTTCCCAGGTACACCAGCGCTGCAGTTCATACAGACCATTAATCATCTCTCTCCTACTGTGATTAACAGTATAGTCCCAGTCGGGCCCACATACGTCCTGGGTGAGTCAGTGGCGCTGCTGCCCATCTGCGCTTTCTCATTATGCAGCAGCTCTGACGGTTATTATTAACTATAACTTTCATTTGTGGTCTGACCCCACAGTCTCGCCGCAGTCTGTACGTCCAGTGCATCAACTCGTTCCTCTTTCACCAGGTGAGTGAGGCACTATTTTACTGTAACCCTTTTATATACAGTAATGACATTTCGTGTTTCGTGTTTAATCACCACGAGAGCTACAGACCAGCGTTCTTTAGACTGTTACAGTCACATGCAAAAGGTTGCACACTATTAAAATATAAAATTAATTGGATTTCACAAAATTGTAGTTTTTAAATGTGGTACTGTGTCTGTGTGGTCAAATATCACGATACTTATCAGACGTGAAAATGTCTTGAAGTATTGTGATGCCCGCTCAAATATATATATATATATATATATATATATATATATATATATATATATATATATATATATGAAGGGACAACTTTTTGTTGTTTTTCTTTTTTTTTTGCATAATTTGACAGCAACAGTTGCCCTTTACATTGATCAGTGGACAATTAGAAATGAGCTAAAATTACTTGGAATTACTTATTTCTCCATTAACTTCCAATAAAAGTTAAGAACTTTTTCTCTTCTCCTGGAAAGTGATACAGGGTTTTGTTCCAACAATGTGTGTAGAGTTGATAGTTTAGTCTGTATTATGTGTATTAATGCTGTATGTCTCCCCTCCTTCAGCTGATGGTGCAGTGGCCCCTGCAGAGCTCAGTAGGACCATCATCCCCATGAGCTCCTTATCGGACAGCACGAGCAGGAGTCAGCCCCCGTCACCCCTCACCCCCGTCTCACCCACAAAAGGTGCGTTTTCATTCACATACTCCTATACTGAGATGAAACTTCATTCTTTTTTTATTTTCCACAGACTTCCTGATTATATGCATACATCTATTTTTGTTTGCTGGCTATTTAATCCTTGAAATAATCAATGAAGAGGCATTTGATCCAATCATAATCTTGAAGGATAAATGCAAAAGGTCAGTTTTGTGCAAGTTAACACTGTGACAAAGCTGTTGTTTTGTCTGATTCATCACATCGCAGACAAAACAACGCAGGAGGACTCTCCCCCCACAACCCCTCAGAGTCCAGTCATACCAGGTGAGCCAATATTACTGTTCATTCTGTGGGGAATTTAATTTGTGGGGAATTGTAATTTACAGCAATTAGATTTAATCTTTTGAACTCTGGGTTTATCATTTAGTTATTAATCTTAATCCTCAGTTATCATTCACTTATATGACTTTTTGAGTAACTACTGTGAATCAGTATCTTCCAAGGACTTCACTCTCAGAAATAACGGTACTAAACTGTCACTGAGGTGGTTTCCCCAAGGGTCCATCTCAGTACTTTTAGTCAGGGAACATGACTGAACCATAATCCACTGAAATGATATGTTCTAAGCTGTACTGACTCCACACACCCCGTCTCGTCTCCAGGCTTTTATTTTACTGTTCTGTTTAAAACATTCGGTTATGAAAAGGTACAAATACAAACTTTTCACCTGGAAAAACTTATTTAAGGTTCACAATCAGACCTTAAAACCACTGTTGTAGCTTTGAGGGAACATTTACACTGTTTGTACCTTGATGGACGAAAAATGAACCTGAACAGAACCTTTATTTCTAACAGTGTATAATAAATTATGCAATAACTACTGTGAATTAATCAGTAACTAATTATAAGCTAATATGTACATTATGTAGATAAGAGAATGAGGAATTTAAAGGAATGGTTTGATGAAATATTTGTAAATTCTGTAAATACATCCCCAAAAGTTCCAGTCAAACTGCATCCAGTTCTTCATTAAGGTGATGCAGACATGTAAATGTGATTTAGGACACAGTGTGATTTACTTTGAGCTATAAATGTGAACTTCACTATGTAGCTGGACGCTTTAGACAAACACATACAGTTGTTGTGCCGAATTCAGACTCCACCAAAGAATCCGCATGCACGTCATGCAGGCGTATGGACACTACAGATTGTGTTCTGTTCTTTCTAATTATAAATAACAGTTTAATCTTGAATTTTTGAACGGAAAATATATGTTTTAATTTAAAAACAACAGAAATCTTGAATGTAAACTAGTGTCCATAATGTCTGGGAGTTGTGCATGCACCCACGCATGAGCCAGCACAGCACCTGCTGTCTAAAGGGTCTTGAATAGTGTAGTGGGTAACACCTCTACCTTCCACAATGCAAATTGGGGTTTGATCCCTGCTCAGGCAAGCACCCTACACAATACTAATAAGAGTCCTTGGGCAAGACTCCTAACAATACCTTGCCCTACCTCTCTATCATGAGCCAAATGCCATTAATGTAATGTTAATGTCTGCTCACAATGTTCAGCTACACAGTGAAGTTTAGTTCGTTTTATAGCTCAATGTAAGTCCTAAACCACGTCTACAAGACCTGGAGCGTTTTGAGAGAAGTTTTGGGGATGTATTTACAGAAAAGATTTGGGTGACTATTGACTTGTAGTGCTGGCAACTCTAGACTCGTAGCTCCAGCGCTAAACTAAAGAAGCGAAATCTGGAAACCAAACATAGCTGATTTGATCGAATGTGTTCAGGGTAAGTGAAATATTGTGTACGTTTAATTTGTCGCTGTACCAAGCCTATGAGTATAGACCCATACACATGTTACTGAAACAGGTTTACTAAATAATAAAATAAAGCCATGTTTCTTTCGTGTACAGAACGAGTTGAGGACTTCATTCAGCAGCTGAAATCCCATCTAAGAAAAACTTGTAGCCTGATGCCAGGAGGCCTGAGGATGGACTCTCACTACATTGACACTCAGCTGGTGCAGAGGAAGCTCGTAATCCGGACTGGCAAGAATGCGAACAAGTGCCTGGAGAAAGAGCTTGTGGTGCTCATTGACTCTGAGCGAAAGAAAGCCACAGTGGACAGGAGCCACGTCTTCCAGAACTGTGGACCCAAACCCAAATGTTTGATCACCGTCCTCGGAAAGGCCGGGACGGGGAAGAGCACGTTAATCCAACGCTTGGCTTTGGACTGGGCCACTGGCAGCCTTCCGCAGTTCCAGTTTGTTTTTTTGCTGAACTGCAAGGTTTTGAACTTGACAAGTCCGAATTACAGCTTAAAGACTTTGCTGTTCGGTCTGTCCACCACCCCCGGCTGTGAAGATTCGGAAGCTGTTTTCAAACATGTGCTGTCCAATCCAGATAAGGTTCTCCTGGTATTTGACAGCTTCGATGACATCGGAGACCTCGAAGGTCTCCTTCAGTCCTTTGCTACCTCGGTCACGGACAATGGCTACAGCGTAAGGCAGCTGTTTTCTGGCCTTTTCCAGAAAAAGATTCTGTCAGGGTGCACTCTCTTGATAGCCACCAGGCCCAAAGATGTTCTGAACCAGCTGCTGCGCAAAGTGGACAGCATTCTGGAGCTCTGCTGCTTCTCGCCCAAGGACATAGAATCATACACCTCAAGCTATTTCGCAGATGCCTCAAAGCAGGAGAGCACGCTGAGGAAGATCCAGAGCCAAAAGTACATCTTCAGCTTGTGCTCCAACCCTTTACTGTGTCGGTTTACGTGCTTCCTCATGGAGCACCAAGACACCGACGGTTACGCATTGCCATCGACTCTAACGGATTTGTGCCAAAGAGTCCTCGACCAGCATCTAGAGCTGACAGCTAAAGAGCAGGGATCCAAACAGGACATCACGGAACTGTGTAACATGGCATGGGAGGGTTTCAAGACTTACAGCTCCCTTTTAAGCCAAGATCAAGAGATCTCCAAGGAGTTGTTGGACTGTGGGATTAATTGTGAGATCCTCACATCCCATACGGTATGTGAGGAGTCTGGCAAGAGCCAGGTCACTTACTTTGCCAATCTTTTCATGCAGAACCTCCTTGGCGCTCTGTTTTTGGTTCAATCCAAAGATGTGAACGACAGGACGTTAGTGGCCCAGACAGTGCTCCACCACCGGAAGAGGAAAGTGCATGGAGAATGGCAGGATGTCCTGCAGAGGTTTGTTATTGGGTCGCTTTACCAGAAAGCAACACCTCACTGCTGTGGTATTCTGCAAAGCTCCGTGGACGCCCAGGCCAAAAGGAAAGCCGTAGAGGCCCACCTGAAAAACCTCAATCCAGGCGAGTTGATTCCCAGCAGGTTGCTGGAACTCTTCCACTGTGTCTATGAGGCCAGTAACGTCAAGCTCGCCAAACTCCTGGTCAAGAACCTTCCTGACATCCTGTCGTTTTGTGGGGCTCATCTCACAATGACGGATGTCTATGTTGTCTGGCACCTCCTTCAGCACGCCAAGGGGCTCAAACGGACGTTTTCCATTGACATGCAGGACACGTGTATTCCTCTCAGTGGTCTCAAGGAGCTGGTGGCGTTGGACTGCGTCACGTCATTCCGGTGAGGAGTCATGTTTTTAAAAAGCAAAGTCTACGAGAACTTGTGTGTTAAATCCCTAGGGAACGTGAATCCTGCTCTTAGTGTACATGTACAGAATACGTCCTGTGAAAAACTTTCCAGTATCCGCTAAATGGCTAGATTTTGCCAAAATTCTCCTCTTTTGATGTAAACTAGGTGGTCCTACTCTTGGATCACGCGTACCTAGGCAGCATCTTCACCAATAACAAGGCTGATGCCAGTGGTCCCTCCCACACAGCTTTGTTCCCATGTTCCCCTAGAACAGGTGTGTCAAACCCAATCAGTAAAAGGGCCATTTTAAAAAATCTCATCAAATCTGTGGGCCAGAGAAAAAAATGTTTTTGATTTTTAATTAGTATTGTGCTATAAGCTGAACTGACCATTGTTTATTCACATGATGCAAAACCTTCAACAGTAAAATACAGACACTTGTAGTAGACCTTGAAATATTTTATGGGCACTTGAAACATTCAAAATTTAAATGTCCCCAGGAGTCTTTTAAACCTACCTATCTGCTTGATCTGCACACCTGGCATCTTTTCTTTGGTGCAAGTTAGGAAGACTTAGGCTCAGTTTCTGAGCTGCTTAGCTGATGTTAAGTGTTTATATTGGCTGAACTGCAGCTGAACTTCATTTCAGTGATATGGCTGGTGTGGAACTGTGTGGAATTGTGTAGAATTGAGGTGTAACCGCTGTCCCATAGACTGTTGTTTGGGTAGAAGAGTCAGAGCTCATTATGCTGAGCAGTGCATGCTGGGGACTGAAGTGCAGTGCATTGTGAAATGGGCTAATATTAATAGAAAATTCAAATACTTTTGCAGGCCGGATAGGATTGTGTGGCGGGCCTGATCTGGCCCGCGGGCCTTGTGTTTGACACATTATTAACATTATTATTAATATTATGATTGTTATATAAAAGCTGCATGTTTTAGTGAGTGGACACTCGTTTGTCTCTGCTAACTCATGCTGTTGTGTTAAGTATTAATCAAAGTCAAAGTGAACTTTGTCATTCAGACTATACAACAATCAGTGCACAGCTGAACGAGATTGTGTTTCTCGATCAAAACTATACATAAATATAACATAAAGGCAACTGCACATAGACGTACTAGACAGTCTCTATGTATTTATATATATATATATATATATATATACACAAGATTTTCTTCCAACAATAGTGATATATATATATATATATATATACACTGTTGTCGGAAGAAAATCTTGTATCTCCAAAATGGTAACCTTACAGGAGAAGGAAAAAACTTATTTTACTTTTAATGTAAGTCAATGGAACCAGACATTTTTCAAAATAATTTTGGGCCATTTCTTTTGGTCCATTCATCATAAAATTTACATACAATGTAAAGAGCAACAGGTTCTTTCATATTATGTGGAAAACTGAAAAACGACAAAAATGGAGATACAAGGTTTTGTTCCGACAACAGCGAAATGTAAGAAATATTGCACGTTGTATAGAAAAAAATATTACACTTTGTTCTCAGTGATAGTATTATTGCACAGTATAACAGGAAATGCAAACTTGACACCGGTGAATAGTGATAAAGAGCTCAAGTGATGTGAACATTGTAAATATTGCACAGAAAAAAATAGCTGCATTTTCATATAGAGGACAGAGTTCTAAGAAAGTGTTCAGACGGTCTGTGTGTTCAGGAGTTCAACGGTCCTGATAGGCCAGTGTGTTGTGTGTTGTTAGAGGGAGCTGAGTATCTGATGGCCTGTGGGATGAAGCTCCTTCTGAGTCTGGTGGTCTTGCACCACATGCTGTGGTAGCGTTTGCCAGAGGGCAGAATCATTACATTATTTATATTTTATCCTCTTTTTTCATTCAAACTTTGCTGAATGTTTAACATAATGCTTGATTTGAGTGTCGTACAAACATATTTAATATTAATACCCCATGCTCTTGGATTTTAAGGCCTTTAAACACTGAGTATAATTTATTTGCATGCTTTTTTTCAGACATTGATGAATTAATTTGAATATGTGTGTAACTAAAGATATCTTGCACACTAAATACGATTCTTTGGATGAAGAAAATGCAATATTTTATATTTTATTCACCCTCAGTTTGATTTTTGTCAGCTTTCACAGGTGACATGAATTCATTCCACCAAATACTGACAGCCAGGATGACTGATTGTCTGTGACCCAGATACTTGTTTGTCAAACATCAAAAGGATGTTAGTTTGAGTGAGAGTTGCAGAAAAAATTAATTGGGTCTGAAACCAAATATATATATCGCTGCTGTCGGAAGAAAACCTCGTTTTTCCATCTCCGTTTTTGTCGTTTTTCAGTTTTTGACATAATCCGAAAATGCCAGTTGCCCTTTTTATTGTGTGTAAATTTCATGATGATTGGACCAAAAGAAACGGCCCAAAACGACTTGGAGTAAAGTCCGGTTCCATTGACTTACAATAAAAGTGAAGTAGGTTTTTCCCTTTTGGTATCCTGGAGATACGAGGTTTTCTTCCAACAACAGCAATATGTGTGTGTGTGTATATATATTATATAAAACATGATGGATGAGGTAAACCAATGTTAAATAAATAACAAAATAATTATTAAGAATAAACAATTCGTCCATGACGCATTAACAGTAGGCTATGACATAATGTTATCAACACATTGATTTTTAATGACTGGCAACATTAATACACAATTCGATTAATATGTGTGTATATTGTGTTTTTACAACAGCATTGACTGTGGCTCAGCCAATCAGAATTTAGAACCTTTGATAATGTTAAATAAGCAACTTATCGATTGATTGATTTTGTCACAGTCTGCCATTTTATAATAACAAAGTGGTGACAATACATCTCTGTTTGTTTTTACAACTTTGGTAATAGAGTTCCATCCTTTCGATTTATAATTAGGAGTTCTACATATAAGAACCAGTGGACAGAAACCACAAATGACTGTAAATAAAAGACTCAGTAAACACTGTATATTGGCTTTGGAAGAGGTTAGGATGTCAGGCCCAGGCTACATACACGAGGAATTATGTAAAACGGTGTATTCCTATAAGCAATTAAGCAAAATATCATATTAGAACTTATTATTAATTATTGTCATTCCTATAGGGCACCTACAATGGATACCATTGACCTGTGGGAGGACTTGCATCGCAGCAGTGATGAGCTGAGCTTGAAAAATGCCATTGAAAAATTCACCATAGACCCATTTAAGGCCTCACAATTGGGTCACATAGAGAACCTGGTCCTCCTTGTCCAGATCCACAGAGAAAAGAAGCTGCCGATGAGGTGAGGCATCAGAACTGCTTTAGCAACCAAGTCTGACGGATTCCTACTAAAATGCTGTTTGTTTATTTTTTAATTCTTGTTTTTCTACACCGCTGGAACACAGCAGCTGTTTTTATACTATGTAACATGGAAATGCACCACAGTTTATTGGACAGCGACAACATACTGCATGCTTTAATGTTTTAATAGCTCACAGATGATATTAATCTAGTATTTAAAGCCTTGATACCCTTGATTTCCTTATTTACACAACTTCAAATTACAACCCCAATTCCAAAAAAGTTGGGACGCTGTGCAGAATGTAAATAAAAATAGAATGCAATGATGTGCAAATCATGTAAACCATATTTGTAAAGGAAAATACTACAAAGACAACAAATCAAATGTTGAAACTGAGAAATTGTATTGTTTTTTTTAAATATGTGCCATTTTGAATTTGATGCCAACAGCACATTCCATAAAAGTTGGGACGGGGGCCTGTTTACCACTGTGTTTCATCACCTCTTCTTTACCAACACTCTGTAAGCATTTGGGAACTGAGGAGACACTGCTGTAGTTTAGAAAGTGAAATGTTTTCCTGTTCTTATTTGACACAGGATTTCAGCTGCTCATCAGTTCAGAGTCTCCTTTTGTCATATTTTTCATTTCATAATGCACCACATGTTATCATTGGTGACAGATCTGGACTTCAGGCAGGTCAGTTAAGCACCCAGACTTTTTTAATACAGAGCAATGCTGCTGTAATACAGGCAGAATGTGGTTTGACATTGTCTTGCTGAAATAATCAAGGCCTTCCCTGAAAAAGACGTCGTCTGGATGGCAGCATATGTTGCCAAAACATGTGTATATCATCCAGCATTAATGGTGCCTTCACATATGTGCACGTCACTTATGCCATGTGCACTAATGCGCCCTATACCATCATGAATACTGGCTTTTGAACTGTGCACTGATAACAAGCTGAGTGGTCTTTAGCCCGGAGGACACAGTGTCCATGACTTTCCAAAAAGAATTTAAAATGTTGATTCGTCAGACCACAGGACACTTTTCCACTTCTTCTTAGTCCATTGTAAATTAACTTGGACCCAGAGAAGGTGGCAGTGTTTCTGGATCCTGTTTATATTTGGTTTCTTCTTTGCGTTTTAGAGTTTTAACTTGCATTTGTGGATGCAGCGACAAACTGTGTTCACAGACAGTGGTTTTCAGAAGTGTTTCTTTAGCATTACACAACTTTACAAGTCTTTTGTTGCCCCTGTCCCACCTTTTTGGAACGTGTTGTTGGCATCAAATTCAAAATGGGCATATATTTTTCAAAAAACAATAAAATTTCTGAATTTCAACATTTGATTTGTTGTCTTTGTACTAATTTCAATGAAATATAGGGTTTAAAGGATTTGCACATCATTGCATTTTGTTTTTATTTTGCACAGCATCCCAACTTTTTTGGAAATGGGGTTGTATATTAATTGAGATTGTGCTGCAGAATTCTGTTCATAACAGATTTTAGACTGTTGTGATGATGATCACTGTTGTGATTTCAGCAATGCTGAAGCTGCTCTGGAGGATGGAATCCCTGCAGTGAGGCATCTTCACAAACTGGAATATGAGTGAGTACAACGTCCAGGAGACACCGGAGACAGATCTGACTACCAGTATAAAGTACACCGATCAGGCATAACATTCTGACCACCTCCTTGTTTCTACGCTCATTGTCCATTTTATCAGCTCCACTTACTATATAGGTGCACTTTGTAGTTCTACAGTTACAGACTGTAGTCCATCTGTTTCTCTGATACTTTGTTAGCCCCCTTTTACCCTGTTCTTCAGTGGTCAGGACCCCCATGGACCCTCACAGAGCAGGTACTATTTGGGTGGTGGATCATTCTCAGCACTGCAGTAACACTGACGTGGTGGTGGTGTGTTAGTGTGTGTTGCGCTGGTCTGAGTGGATCAGACACAGCAGTGCTGCTGGAGTTTTTAAACACCTCAGTGTCTCAGAATGTTATACCTGATCAGTGTATAAATGCATGTTAAAGTCTTACCTGCTTACAGTCCGTGTAGAAGTTCCCTGAAAAGTCCAGGTGTAAACAGGGTCTTTGTCTTTGTGGCTCGGTTTAAACTCGGTTAATGGGATTGCCCACAAAATTATGTCACTGGATTTAAGTGAGTCAATCAGTCAAATTTTGACTCAAGCTTTGTATGTGTTTTGTCTTTACACTGAAGGCTCGGCCAGCAGAACGGACCCGGGGCTTTTCACAAACTCGCTGGGATCTTACCTGCTCTCCAGTCTCTTCAGCACCTAGAGTAAGCACTGTCCTTAGAACATGGAAAATACCTAAGTACTTCATCACTGTATTTGAAGCCCCAGAGAACCTTAAATCCACGTTTTCTTTCTAAGTAGGTTAATCTTGCTCTTATGGGCACTCAATTTTGCCAAAAATCTTCTGTTTTGATGTAAACTGGTCATAATCTTGGGTTGTGCACACATAAGCAGTGTCCTCAGTAATCACAAGGCTGATGTGGTTCGTAGAGAGAACGCTAACCACCAAGCAAAAGCTCATCCAGCAGCTGTACTACTGTGACTATTGTGATATTATTGTGATCTTTTACATGTATAAACAATTTGGTTATAATTCAAATATCATTACAAGCCTGATTGAAACTCTGTTTTCAACACTTACATAGAAGAAATGGTGTGATGTTTGAAGCTGAGTGATGATTTAAAATAAGAATTATATATATGGTTGTGTGTTTCAAACACACTGCAGTCGATGCTGAAATACATTCCACTAAAATGTATTTCAGAATATTTTGTCATATTAACCACATATAATTTTAAAATACATTTATTTTAAAAAGTATGGGGAAATATTACACATAGAAATGTACCATACAGAAATAAATGTATGTAAATGTGTTTATCAAATCCATTTAAAAATGTATGAAAACAGCCAAAATCCTGTCTGATGCTCTTCACTGTCTGATACCTTTAGAGATGAATTTCCAGTATCTTCATTTTAAATCTGATCAAATGATCCTTTATCAGGACAGAAGCGAGTGTTGTGGGTATTGATACTCTGTGAAAATGCAGTTATGATCTGATATCTTGTTTATTTGAAGTACATTGTGTGTGAGAGTCTGACTGCAGACGTACATGGTTAATGTAAAGTCAGTACTGTTCGTTCAGCTCAGGTATATTTAGTTATACCTGTAAACTTCGCTAAAACTACATACAACTGAAAAAATATAATAACAAATACAAATAAATGCATTTAAAAATATTTTTAAGATATTTTTGGTCATTTTCATACATTGCAAAAATATATTGGATAAATAGATTTGGAATATATATTTTTTCCATATGGAATATGTTATCAGCACATCTGTAATATCTTTTCAAAGCATTTTACATAAACATTTGGCAGAAAAGTGCAGCTTTTTTACATTTCAGTTCTAGAAGCTGTTTAACCACGTTATGCTTCTTTCCTCCAGTCTGGAGAATAATAAAATCGGAGACCGTGAAGCTGAAAAGCTGGCGAGTGTCCTTCACTCTCTGTCATCTCTGAAGATGCTGAAGTGAGTGTCAGATGTGTTGTTGGTGAATCCTTTCATTGTCTTGGAAATAGCCAAGGCCCGATGTGACCTCTGATTTATTTCTCTCCCCAGTCTGTCTCAGAACTGTATCGGAGACGCTGGAGTGGAGAAACTGGCCCAGGCCCTGTCAGCGGCCTCCTCTCTACAGAGTCTCAGGTAAAGCCTTTTAAAAACAACCACTTTCTGAACTGTTATTAGTTACAAAGGCTGCGCAAAATACCTTATTGTGATTGTATAGTTGCGTTTTGCTTAGCAGTATGTTAAAGGAACAAAATCATGAAAAACGGCATGTTTATTTTGATATAATATATGTTTATATATAATATATATCGCTGCTGTTGGATAATAAAGCCTGTTTGTTTGAGGGCTTATTTACAGATTGCAGCGTTGGTGATGTCACTACTGCAGTGGCCATTATTGCAATATAATCAGCAAACATTGTGTTGTGCAGCTCTTTTAGTTTCTGCTTATAGTGTTAAAAAACTGTGGTTACTGAACATTAATGGACGACTGACATGAAGCACTAATTCTCTCTCTCCTTCCCACCGACACCTTCAGCCTCTACGGGAATTTGATCGCGGACAGCGGAGCTGAAAACTTGGCCTCCGTTTTACCAGCCATGAAGTCTCTGCTGGATCTGGAGTAAGTCCAACTGACCAATCAGAAATGATTTTACACACACAAAGCTTCATAATATCCACAAAAGGAGTTAAAATACAACTTACATGGGCTGAAACACTCCTTATAACTTCATTGTAAGTGGGCGGAGCTTAACAGCTATAGGCTGAATAAGCAGACACAGACACAGTCAATAGCTGTTAAGCTCTGCCCACTCACATCAAAGTTATAAGGAGGGTTTCAGCCCGGACTGCTGTTTGAAAGAGGCACAGCCAATGAGGGCAGAGCTCATTTACATGCCTGTTTGATACTAAGGGATAAGAGAGGCTGGAAACCTACTGGATAGAGAGTATTTATTAATCTTAAAACTTCAGATTATTCCGAATTTATTAATGATTTAGGAACTACAGTGAAACTAAAATGTGTTGCGTAGTTATGAGAGTGAACTGAAGTGTGGACCCTCATACGGACCTTCCCAGATAGAGAGCATATATCGGTCTGCTGGCTTAACGAAGTCGGCACCCCGCTGACTGTTTGCCACTGCTGGTCCCCCCTCGGACCACCCAGATTACCATCCTGCATACAAGCTCTAACTAGATTTTAATCTCTTCAAACAGATTTTAAATGCACAGGGACTTTTAGTTTGGAAAATAAAAAAAATCTAAGACAAATATTGATATATAATGACTAGGCCTAATATAAAATGATTTTATAGAAAATTATTCTAAAATAATTATTATAAAATTATTTACTAAACTTATTTACAAAGTATAACTAAAGAAAAGAAGGACGGAAAAATCAGTAACTTAGACTGTGAGTGGAAAATGAGTGACGATAAGTGGAATTTTATCTAATTCTCTGCTAAAACACCGGTGGGCCGCCCAGGAAACACTGAGCAAAATGCCAGTGGACCACCAGCTCTGCCATCAGTGGGCTGACAGTGGCCCACTATCCTCTTGCTATCAGGGTTTAGTTAGGGATTAAGGGGCTAATCAGTGAATCAGGAGGACGTGGCTTCCCAGAACTACCAAATTTCCCAGAAGAACCAAACTGTGTATTTATTCAGCTTTTTATTCACTGTATTTACTCAGTTTATTTATGACACTGAAACTGAAACTGTTTGTAGTGGGATCAGTGATGGGAAAATGCAGATGTGGGAGTCCTCCAAAAAAAGAGAGTACTGTTGAAAGAGAAAATAAAAGTAAAAGAGTAAACATGAAATAAACACTTTATAAACGTCTGCCTTTTGAGACGTGAGTCGCTTTAACTGCAGTTCTGAAACTAACATGCTTTTGTGGTTTGTGTGTTCACTCATGACCAATTTAACTCCTTGGTCATTGTGCTGTGTCGACCTGCTGCTGAATAAAATGTGTAAATAATGCCTTAATTATCGGTGTGACAGACGGCTTGGCATTGGCAAAAAAGAAATTCTGCATAATTGAGTGTGTGAGACGTAAACAGAGTGAAACCACCAGTGAACCTACACGAGTCTCCTGAGTTTATATGCAATGTTGATGATGGAAAATAGTGGAAAATTCTGAAATAATAAGTTTTCTTTGGGGACTATTTTGCCTTAGAACACCCTGCATGTATTATTAAGGCCAGAATCTTCTCAAAACGATCATAAAACAGTGTCTCAGTCATCAGGCAGTGAATTCATAACCATTTCATGTAGTAACTTTCTGTGAGGGAGCTTTTAGAGGTGGATGTCTGGTTCCTATCACCACCACTGTGAACAGTTCTGACTCTAGAACGGAGCGTTTCACACAATGACTTTTAATTAACCATCTAATGATGCAGTATGAAATAAAAAAATTACTTGTGCTTGTTGTTTTTAAAGGAATACTCCTGCATGTTTTAACCACTTAAAATCTCAGCCTTATTACAGACTAAGGCTTATTATTCAGTAACTACAGGGACTTCAATGCAACCTGGCTGAGCTATTCTTAGATTATAGAAGTGTGTAATCAAAACGCTGGGCCTGCTGGTGGACCCTGACCATTTTAGGGGTTAATAAGTTAAATTGAAAAGTTATATATTCGTTTTTTTTCTCGTTGTGTGGGTGGTTGAGGTTGGGTAGCTTTCCAGCAGGCCACATCAAACGTCTTTGTGGGCCACACTTTGGGCTGTTTTATTTTGAACAGCTCTGTCTAGTGTGGGAAATCAAGAGAACAGAAGCTGTTGCAGCTCTGAATATTGACTTTTATTTTGACACCTTGTCAGATATGACAAATATGTCAACCCCTTATAATCTCAGGCTTATTACATACTGAGGCTTATGATTCAGAAACTACAGGGACTTCAGTGCAAACTGGCTGAGCTATTCTTGGACTATAGAAGTGTGTATTAAAGCTTTGGGCCTGTCGGTGGGGCCTGGGCATTTAAGGGGGTAACCTAATCTCTCTCTGCCACATCTGTATTGTACTGTCAGTTACCATGGATGATAAGTTTGACATGTTTCACTGAACTGTAAAAGAACAGAAACCTGTTCACCCGAGACTGATTTACAACAGGAGCCAATGGGCTCTAAGCAGCTTTTCATTGGCTTCTATTACAACAAGTGAGTTTTGAGTCAATAGGTTTTGTGTCTTTCACTAAATACAGGGAATTATTGTCTATTTGCCACAAAGGGGGCAGAAAAAGTAAGATTGAACAAATGTTGAAGTGTTTCTTTTACATAAATGTATAAATTAGTGGCAAATGCACATCTGTATAGTGGAGTTTTAGTCAAACTGACATCAAAATTGTCCTTTTTTTGTATCTTGCTAGTTTGTGTCTCTGGTCATATTAATCTCAATTCATCATATTGTGTAAAAACAAAAAACTAAATTTTATGTCCTTTAATCTTACATCAAAATGTCATTTTAACTTTAGCCTCACCTCTAAATCATCTTTTTATATATATATATATATATATATATATATATAAAAGCACCTTTCATACATTAAAAATGCAGCTAAAAGTGCTTCACAATACAAAGTAAAAACAACAAAAGAAAGAAAAAAAGATTATCAAAGATGAAATAAACAAATAAATAGCAGAAAGGGGGACATATTAGTAATAAGTACAAGTAAGAAGCACAAGATAAAAATACAACTAACAACAACGTAAAAGTAATAGTAATATTCCAGTAAAAACAAAGGAAACAATAAAAAAAACCTAGTTAAACGCTAATTTAAAGAAACATGTTTTTAACTGGTTTTTAAAAACATTGACAGGAGGAGCCTGACGGATGTTTATGGTAATGTTGGTAATGGTAATGACTTCTGATTATTTGATGATGTCACCATGCACCAGTGGGCAGGGCAAAATAACAATAACCAGTAATGTTTCACCTCTTGCTCCCAAAAGTGAATACTTTTGCTGTTTTTTACTGCAAATGGTGGAATGAGTTTATCACTAGAGGTCTTGTAATGCTTTTACTGTATTCACAGTTGCTTACAGTGTAAAATAATAATAATATGTTCTTTTCTGCATCCACAGTGTCAAGTACAACAAGTTCACAGATGTTGGCGCTAAGAAGCTCAGCGCGGCCTTAAAAAGCTCCCCGAGCATGAAGTCCCTTCAGTAAGTCTCTAAAACTCATTATAAAGAATACTTATACTCTCTTATTAAATGTGCATTCTCAAATGTTATATACGTCATACTCAATACGTTTACATTCACTTTCATATGTGCAATTTTTAGCTTCTTTACGGTTACAGTATGTTAATATTAAAGGGCCCATATCATGCAAAACTGAATCTCCCATGCTTTTTTTTTTAAATGAGATTGATGTAGTATATAAACTGTAGTGTTCACTGCCCAGTCCGTACAGTCCATATATGGAAACCAAGCTGCAAACACTCATGTTTTGAGTCTGCTGTTTTTGTGATGTCACAAAAAACGGCACACTTACATATATCCACCTATGCAGCAGATTAGTCCCGCCCACTTATGCTGACACTATATGGCACAGGTTTTAGGACAGGAAACAGGATTTAAGGTCTGGATTTGAAGACCTCTGTTATAAGGAATGAACTGCTTTCTGAATACAGGCAAAATACAGAACAGCCAATCAGAACAGAGCTCGTTTACAGCTCATTTACATATATCTCCAAAATGGTGACTGTTATGGTTATTTTGGAGTGTTTCTGTTGTTTTGGTCATCATGACATTTTAACACAATGTAAAGGGCGACTTGCGTTTTCAAATTCTGTTAAAAACAGCCTGTTTAGTTGTGAGGGGTAAAGAGAGGTTGGAGATGAATAATGATTAATAATTATGCATTTTTTATAAAAACACACAAATGTAATCATTCGTGATGTCATATCAGTATCGGTGTGGGGCCGTCACAGATCTGTCCACCTCTGGTCATAATGCAAGAAGAATGTGGGATATGGGCCCTTTAACTCCTCGTCATAGGCTTGTCAGGTTCACTGATTCTGTTCTGTATGATGAAATCAGGCATTAATAAGGAAACCTTCACTTTAGCACAATTACCCATATAGAAAAGAACATATGGACATATATTTGTATGAATTGCATTTCAAATACACTGCAGTCGATGCTGAAATACATTCCAAACACTAAAATATATTATAGAATATATTACCATATTAATCAAATATATTTAAGTTGGCTTGAAAAAGTCAATTTACTGTTCTTCGTAATCTTATTATTATTATTCTACGCTCAAAAAATGTTTCTCGTCCCACAGTTTTCAAACTAGAACCATGAAACTTTAAGGAATTTGAGGTGGAACTCTATTAAAGGTAGCACTAAAATTAAAGTGGTACTGAATTTAAGGTGAAACTGCAATTAACATAGCACTAAATTTAAGGTGGCACAGAATTTAAGGTGGCAGAGAATTTAAGGTGGAACTTCTTTTAAGGTGGCACAGAATTTAAGGTGAAACTCTACTTATGGTGGCCCTGAATTTAAGGTGAAACTACATTTAAGGTGGCACTGAACTTAAGGTGGAACTGCAATTAACATAGCACTAAGATTAAGGTGGCACTGATTTTCCAGTGGAACTCCATTTAAGGTAGCACTAAGATTAGGGTGGCACAGAATTTAAGGCGGAACTTTACCATCCACCAGCCAACTTAAAGTTTGTTCATGAACTTCCCCTTTCTAGTTTAAAATGCATTTCTTTTAAAATGTATGGTGAAATATTACTCCTAGAAATGAACCATATAAAAATAAATGTGTGTAAATTTGTTTATCAAATCCATTTGAAAATGTATGAAAATATCCAAAATCCTGTCTGATGCTCTTCACTGTCTGATACCTTTAGAAATGAGTTTGTATTCCAGTATCATCATTTTAAATATGATCAAATGAACCTTTAACATGACAACCGAGTGTTGTGGGTGTTGATACTCTGTGAAAATGCAGGTATTTATAGTTGAAATACATTGTGTGTGAGAGTCTCACTGCAGACGTACATGGTTAATGTAAAGTCAGTACCGTCCATTCAGCTCAGGTATATTTAGTTATACCTGTAACCTGTGTTAAAACTACATACAACTGAAAAAATATAATAACAAATACAAATAAATGCATTTAAAAATACATTTAACGAATACATTTTTTGCCATTTTCATGTTTTCCAAAAAATATACTAAATAAATACATTTGAAATATATTTTTTCCGTATGGGTAATGAAGCGTAATAAACATTATGATAGACCTTTATGTTGAAACGGCCTCAGTCAACTGATCCTCTGCTATTCTTCATTAGTCTGGTGTTTTGGTTGAACTGCTGCATCAGTCCAGAGTGCAGAGTGTTCATCCTCCAGGATTACTGAGATCCTCGATTAATGTAGTTTCTCTTCTTTCCCAGAATGTGGAACAACTGCATCCCTCTTGGGGTTTTCGATCATCTTCGGCTTCAGGACCCCAGGATCAGAGCCCTGTAAAGCACTTACTACCTGCCCTTTAACTGCTGCTACTAACAGTTCCTTATGCAACAATGCACTGAATTCTATGCAATGCTGTTTCCTCAGCAAAGACACTAAACCGTAAGGTACAATAATGTTATTGAGATGCACTATTTCTGTCGGTTACTTTTTATGAGCATTTGGCCACCTCATAAAACTTTTTTTAAGAAATAAACTGGATTGTGTGTGTTTCTTTAAACAATTTCAGAAAATTGCAAAAACAAATTTGGACAAACATTTGATTAAAATTATAATTGAACTTTTTTTTTAAATAGATTTTGAAATAAAACCATTTTAGATGCTTAAGTGAGCCTATTTTTGCGGGTTAACAGACTCCTTACTCTGAAATGTGCCTTCATTTTTAATAAGAAATATTTTTAACAATCACTAAATTTATATATAGACAAACCTGTCAGTATTTCTTTCTAACATCTGGTGACAACGGCGTAAAATGTCTTAATCTCTACAGAATTGGAATCGGCATTTCATTTGGCCGCCTTTCGTTTCAATTTTTTCCAATCCACCTTAAATGGTGCAGCTGTTACATTCTGGCACCTCTACACCTGAATGTAAATGCTGTGCCTCAGGCCGAATGGGAGCAAACAGAAGTACGGAAATGGGTCTATGCCTCCATGTTTGGCTTAGGCTAAAGGCTAAAGGCTCCCCAAAGACAGGCCATTACTTTACAGTCATATGAAAAAGTTTAAACATCATCATCATCATCTTAAAACACTACATCCAGATAGGGTCACGGTAACAGTTGGGAGAGCAGAGAATCCCAGATGACCCTATCCCGCAACTTCCTCCAGCTCATTCCAGGGGACCCCGACCCGCTCCCAGGCCAACTTGGAGATGTAATCCCACCAGCGGGTCCTAGGACAACCTCGGGGTCTTGTCCCAGTAGGCTGTGACTGGTAAACCCCCAAAGGGAGGCGTCCAGGGCTCATCCTGATCAGACACCCGAACCACCTCAAGTGGCTCCCCTCAATGTGGAGGATTAGCATTAAAACACCCTCAATCAGATTACATGTTAACTTAAACTTAAATATGACATTTTTTTGGGAAAGTTTTTGGTGCACAATTTCTATTCAATCACTGAGCCTAATATATCAGAAAAAAGTAACACATCTAATATAAAATGTGGCGTAACTTGTGCACAGGCCACATTTTAGGTTTATTTTATTCCCTAATATGTTGTGTTAAGCAGTAATTGTGTATTAAAACCAGTGGTGGACAGTAACGAAGTAAATGTAATTCATTTCTGTACTTAAGTAGTTTTTTCGTGCATCTATACTGAAGTATTTCCATTTTGGGTGACTTTTTACTTTCACTCCACATTTCAAAGTAAAATATCCACTACATTATGAGAAATCTGTCGTTCCTTTTGGTTTATGTGTGTATAAAAACATAACATGTCAAAACGAAAGAAGTGTGAAGCAAGAACACCAATCAGGGCACAGCGCACTTTGTTTTGAGCTTGTTTTGACCTGTTGATCATACCGACCCAGTGCAGCACACGGTTCAACATCAGTGCAGCAGCGTAAAATTTTGGGAGAGTCTATTCAACATAAATGATGAACTAACCTAACTTTGTGTAAATAGACCACAATATAGAAATATGTACACATATGCAGTTGTGACTGACGGGTCTTTATTCTGAATTTATACAAACACTATTTCATTTTATTGTAAATTAGTTTTTGCTAGTTTATGTTTATGAATAGTAATAGACATCAGCGTCACTAATTAATGACTCTATTAAAGACTGGTTTACCAAGAGTCACACTGGAGTATTTTCACCTAAACTGAGTTAATGAAGCGAGTCTTGTTACAAAAAGGATAACAGGACATCAGAGTCATAATTAATCTTTTAGTACTTTCACTTTTGATACTTAAGTACATTTGAAGGTAAATACTTTTGTATTTTTACTCAAGTGGAGGTCTAAAGGGAGGAACTTCTACTTTTACTGGAGTAATATTTTACCTTGGGTGTCTCTACTTTAACTCAAGCACATGGTTTGTGTACTTCGTCCACCACTGATTAAAACATGCAGAAGTTTGCACTTATTTTCACTCAGAAAAACAACAAAACTTTGATCAGTGGCGCCCAAAACAAAGCGGTTTACTTCAGAGGCAGCGGACCAGACAGTGGGAGGTGATCGAGGGTCGGCTGTGTTTTCATTTTCATTTGAAATGTAACTGAAACGTCTCTGACTCACTCAGCTAACAGGATAACATTAGTGTGGTTTACTACGGAAGACCAGTACAGAACTCTGCTGGTGACATCTCATATAAATAACAATAATGTGTGGACACACCATATTAATGTGTGGGAACGAGATCTTAATGCAACTTAGTAAGGTGTGGGAATGAGATAATGCCTTATTAAGCAGTGGTCAAGGCCTAATTATCTCATTCCCACACCTTACTAAGTCGTGACCACACATTACGATCTTGTTCCCACAGCTTACTAAGTCGTGGCCACGACATAAGTATCTCATTCCCACGTCTTACTAAGTTGTGACCACGCATTATTTTTGTTTATAGAGGATGCCACCAGCAGGGCTCTGTAGTTATGTAACTACATATGCTATAATTTTTCTGGATTGTTATCTTGAGATCACATGATACTTAAGTCATGATCTCAAGATAACGAACTTTGTTCGTTGAGTTTGTCCAACACAGCAGTGCTGCTGGAGTTTTTAAACACTGTGTCCACTCACTGTCCACTCTATTAGACACTCCTACCTTGTCAGTCCACCTTGTAGATGTAAAGTCAGAGACGATAGCTCATCTGCTGCTGCACAGTTTGTGTTGGTCATCCTCTAGTCCTTCATCAGTGGTCACAGGACGCTGCTGGCTGGATATTTTTGGTTGGTGGACTATGCAGCAGTGACACTCAGACCAGCGCAACACACACTAACACACCACCACCACATCAGTGTTACTGCAGTGCTGAGAATGATCCACCACCCAAATAGTACCTGCTCTGTGAGGGTCCATGGGGGTCCTGACCACTGAAGAACAGGGTAAAAGGGGGCTAACAAAGTATCAGAGAAACAGATGGACTACAGTCTGTAACTGTAGAACTACAAAGTGCACCTATATAGTAAGTGGAGCTGATAAAATGGACAATGAGTGTAGAAACAAGGAGGTGGTCAGAATGTTATGCCTGATCTGTGTATAATTTTACTTGCCAGGATACCATTTTTGCAGTGTGTTCTATGTACACGTGTTTGTAACGTTTAGGGGTGAAACTTAACGTATTTTGCTTTCAACTGAGCTGTAAGTTCACACCAAGTATAGAAACATTCCATCACTACCCAACCCTGCCAGCAAAATGACCCCCACAGCATAACAGAGCCAGTGGACCCCCTCACTGTAGGGTTCCAGCATGCAGGCCTGTACTGCTCTTTTGGTGTAATTTGCACATACGCTCGCCCTCTTGTGGAGAACATGGTGAAGGATGACTCTTCTGACCAAATCACGTCTGTAGACCTGTGCTGATGTGACCACCACTGACCTCTCAGGTGGTCACTGGTCTTTGTAATGAGGAGCTTCTGCGCTGCAGCCCTACCATAATATCCCTCTCTATGTAGTTGTGGACAGACTGTTCTTGCCTACAGCTTGATCACATCCTGCAAAGTCACCTGAGGAAACACTATCAAAACGGTTGACTGTAGAGACTCAGATTTCCTTACAGTGGGGGTGATAGGAACCAGGGGTCGCCATGACTACAACACAAATATAGACTTTTATTTACTATCCAGAACTCCCAGTGAACCTACATGAGTCTTCTGAGTTTATATGGAATGTTGATGATGGAAAATAGTGGAAAATCAAAATGGATTAAAATACATTTTAGGCCAAAAGTTTATCACATAACTATCATCATTAAACAGTGTCTCAGTCATCAGGCAGTGAATTCATAACCATTTCATGTAGTAACTTTCTGTGAGGGAGCTTTTAGAGGTGGACGTCTGGTTCCTATCAGCACCACTGTGAACAGTTCTGACTGTAAAATGTAGCATTTCACACCAAACCACTCTGAATCCCTGTTTACATCTCAGTCACTTAATTATGGAGAAATTTTGAAACATCACTGGAATTCCCCTTTAAGTGTTAGTGGGAGTAAGATGAACATTATATATTCAAGTTTCACGCAACTGATGAATAACACAAATATAGCCATTTTATTTACTACCCAAAACTCCCAGTGAACCTACACGAGTCTTCTGAGTCTATATGGAATGTTGATGATGGAAAATAGTGGAAAATCTGAAAAAAAATTAGTTTTCTTTGGGGGCCATTTTGCCTCACAACACCTGGTATGTACCTCTCCCTCACAAACAGATTTGAAAACAACAAATCATGCCCAAACATTACAATATCTGTAACCATTTCATGTAGTAACTCTCTGTGAGGGAGCTTTTAGAGGTGGACGTCTGGTTCCTATCACCACCACTGTGAACAGTTCTGACTCTAGAACGAACCATTTCAGACCAAACCGCTCTGAATGACTCTGTTTGCATCTTAACCATTGAATTATGCAGATATATAAAACAAAAAAGGTGGAATCCCCCTTTTAAGCACGTTACACAAGCAAAAAAAAGAAAATGCAGTGCTCATTTGGGACTTACATAAAGTGAAAGTAATTATTTATTAAATATATAATATATATTGTGGGTATCTGAAATACATCAGATCAAATACATAATTTACAGCATGTAACAAATGTACAGTTCATTAGAGAATCTCATATAAAGCAGCACAATACTGAGGATTTAAGAACCCTGCCAGTCTCATGGTGTATTGCTTACCTAAGACGATCTAGTCTAGAAAAGAAAAATGCTCATGCAGAATTAGGCCAGGCATCACAGCTTTCTAGCCTGGCCGAACTAACCAAAGGTCGATGTTAGGTGCTTTATTACTATTAGATCTGTTGCAAAAACCAAACGGTGTGCATGTAACGCGATGGAAGTCCTCCATTATGGCTGGCATGTGAAACAAAATTATGGCAATATCAGAGAATGAAGTTTAGAAATAAGTAAGTGAATGTGGTTATTTAACAGCCACAGTGCTGGGTGCTGTCTGACATCCATCTCTTCCGGGAGACCTTGGAGCGTGGTATCAGTCTTTCCCTGGGAAAATGCCGTCTGATCTCAAGGTCAGTCCTCCCTTGACCCTGAACAACCTGTGGAGATACGACACCCAGCATGTTGGCACAGGCATATCATCTACAGTATGTGCATTACAGTGAAACCCGCTTACTTTCTAACGCGTGGGCATCTTCTTCGGCGAAACGTCCAGGGCGACATCTCTTCCTGCCCGGCTTCCAAGATCTCCATGGCTCCTGTAGGCCTCTGGTGCACTTCCTCCCACCAAAGTGCTCGGGCCTTGGACGGTCTACTCCAGATATCCCTCAAAAACATCTAACTCGGTGTCTGTGTCGTACGGGACGGAGGCTGGGTCGGAGAGAACGCCCAAATCCACCAGGGCCTGGTCCATATCCTCTGGCAGGAACACAATCCCTACATTCAGGACTATGTATTCCATCAGAAAGGCATAGTAGAGTATTAACACGTTGACAAAAAACAGGCCAAGATAAAACATATATGGAAGCTCGTCGATGAACGATTCCACGGAATCTAGCTGCAAATAGACTGAGTGGGTCATAGAATCCTACACATGTGAGCCGGTCTCTTGGGACAATCCTGCAGACAGTGAAGTGAAGCAGCAATGGCGAGAAGAAGGAGCAGGAGACTGCAGTTAGAAGTGGTCAGAAGAAGTGGAAATACTGGAGAGATGGTGGGGTCATAACTGCAGAGCTTGTGGTCTGTTTCAGCACGTGTCAGCTTTCAGAAGCTGATCCAATCTCCACTCCGGTCCAATCACATCCTCCACATGTCCAGAAGAATGAGTAGGCTCAAGCTCATGGAGCTGCAGAGGGGTTTTTCAGCATGCCTTTCAACTGGTAGCAGGCTGGCGAGCTGACATGGCAGTTTAGAGACAGAGAAAGTGTGTCAGACCTTTCTTTTTCCCCAAAAAAGCTCAGAAGACGTCTCCTAACGGTCTGAGAGAACTGCAGCCACTAATATCCATCTTCAAGGCCCCTTTTCGCTCCACGTCTTTCTCTCTGCTCGACTTCCGCCACTTTTTCAGATGATTTCAGGGCGCATTCTTCCCCACCCTGTCGAGTCGAGCACATTTAGTGACCAAAAAAACAATGTTTACGGCGAAACAAACAAACAAGAGCCAAAATAAGGTTTGACGAAGAACAAAAACAAGCGTCGCTCTACTGTATACGTCGACAAGCCGTCGGCCCGAAATGAACGCTGGGAAATGGAGTCCGAGCGCTATGGAAGCCCGTTTACGCCACCGGGGAAAAATACATCGACATTTCTACACTTTTAAGTCACAATGATGAGAAAGTTGTCCATAATTAGGACTCAGAACCTCGTAATAATGATTTAGCGTCTCATAAGTGTGGCTTAATCCTTTACATATATTAAAAAATGAGGTATTACGTCATAATTACCGTCTTTATGAAATAATAACCCTGCTGAAAACGAACCTTATTGCTGTCTAAGGGAACTGGCTTAACGGTTTCCAACAGAGACCACCACTTTTCCGTGGAACACCTTTAGATCCCATTAGGAAACCATCGTCAGATACTTTTAGCATCAGCCGTTGGTCGCCTGATAAACCATCAGGATCCTTTACGTTGTGACATCAACCCATCAGGGAGTCAAAACACATTACTAAACCATCAGGAACCAACAGAAACACTTAACGGTTCTATGGGTTTTTCCAGTAGGGAAGTCATAATTATGAGAAAAGTAAGTCATTATTATGACGTAGTAAGAGAGTAAAGAGATGCCAAGTCTTAATTATGAGATGCTAAGTCAAGATTATGTCACAGTAAGAGAGTAAAAGTCATAATTAAGAGAAAGTAAGTCAAAGCAATGAGATAGGAGCTCATCATTACGAGATAGCAAGTCAGAATTATGAGATACTAAGTCATAATTATGAGAGTAATAATAAGAAAGTCATTATCATGAGATGTTGAGTCATAATTATGAGATAGGAAGTCAAAATTATGAGGTATTAATTAAGTCACAATAATGAAAAAGTCATAACTGTGAGACGCTAAGTCTCAATCATGACATAGTAAGAGAGTAATGAGATGCCAAGTCATAATTATGAGATGCTAAGTCAAGATTGTGTCATAGTAAGAGAGTAAAAGTCATAATTATGAGAAAGTAAGTCAAAGCAATAAGATAGGAGCTCATTATTACGAGATAGCGAGTCAGAATTACAAGATACTAAGTCATAATTATGAGATAGAAAGTCAAAATTACGAGATACTAATCAAGTCACAATAATGAAAAAGTCATAACTGTGAGATGCTAAGTCACAGTCATGACATAGTAAGAGAGTAATGAGATGCCAAGTCATAATTATGAGATGCCAAGTCAAGATTATGTCACAGTAAGAGAGTAAAAGTCATAATTATGAAAAAGTAAATCAAAGCAATAAGATAGGAGCTCATCATTACGAGATAGCGAGTCAGAATTACAAGATACTAAGTCATAATTACGAGAGTAATAATAAGAAAGTCATTATTATGAGATGTTGGTTCATAATTATGAGATACTAATTAAGTCACATTAATGAAAACTGAATAACTGTGAGATGCTAAGTCACAATCATGACATCCTCAGAGAGTCAAAGTGATAATTATGAAATACTAAGTCAAAATTTTGCCATAGAGAGTAAAAGTCATAATTATGACAAAGTAAGCCAAAGCAATAAGATTATTACGAGATAGCGAGTCAGAATTACGAGATACTAAGTCATAATTATGAGAGTAATAATAAGAAAGTCATTGCTATGAGATTTTGGTTCATAATTATGAGATACTAATTAAGTCACATTAATGAAAACTGAATAACTGTGAGATGCTCAATCATCACAATCATGACATCCTAAGAGAGTCAAAGTCATAATTATGAGATACTAAGTCATTATTATGAGATAAAAAGTGGTAATTGTTGGAAACTTTCTCTTTGGTATTACTTATATAAATAGCTATGAACCGGGCTCCCGTAGATTTGACAGCGACAGTGGTTTTGGTTTGAACTACAACTCCCATAAGCCCGTAGAGGCAGTTGCCGTCCTGCTCGGTTTGTCAGTTAGCCAGCTAGCGATGTTTTCGCGTTTTGCTGCGACTGCAATGGAATTATTTCGCCTTATTTAGCAAAAATTAGGAAAGGTGTCAGAAGAAGTAAACCCGCAGCTATGTTCGGGCGGTCCAGGAGCTGGGTGGGAGGGCAAGGGAGGTCCAAAAATATCCATTCTTTGGACCATTTAAAGTAAGTGTTGCGAGCTCGTAACGTTAGCTGTACGCTAACGACGGAATGGCAGCCTAGCGAGTTAAGCAGCCAGCATTTCGGGCATTTCTACTCTTTGTGAACAAAACGAGGCATTATTTACTTTCACTTAATCGTGGGAAAGTTGTCTGCTGGTCAGGAGGCAACATAGATGTGACCCAAATGGTAGCTTAGCTACGTTATCTGGCAGATTTAGCTGCCTTGGTTGCTGGCTGAGCTGCAGTGGAGTCTTAAACTGTGCTAATTTCACCAGCTGTTAAACATTAATATTGCATTTTGACTCACTTGATACGTATTGTGCAAGAATAAATGATCCCAAACTGTAAAAAATAATTTTAATAGTTTGTTTGAAGCTGAAATATGTAAGTTAGCTAATGTTCAACTAGTCCCACTAACCCCTAAAGGGGAATTCCACCGATTTTTCAAAAATGCCTCTATAATTCATTGGTTGAGATGTAAACAGAGTAATTCAGAGTGGTTTGGTGTGAAAAACTCCGTTCTAGAGAAACTTGCCGAGTCAGAATTGTGACAGTGGTGGTGATAGGAACCAGACGTCCACCTCTAAAAGCTCCCTCACAGAAAGTTCCTACATGAAATGGTTATGAATTCACTGCCTGATGACTGAGACACTGTTTTATGACGGTTTTGTGCTGAGTTTTGGTTTAAAATGTGTTTTAATCCATTTATTTTAGTTCATTTATGGTGGAGGGATACATGCAGGGTGTTCTAAGGCAAAATAGTCCCCAAAGAAACTATTATTTAAGATTTTCCACTGTTTTCCATCATCAACATTCCATATAAACTCAGAAGACTCGTGTAGGTTCACTGGTGGTTCTGGATAGTAAATAAAATGTCTATGTTTGTGTTGTAGGCTTGGCGATCCCTGGTTCCTATCACCACCACTGTAAAGACATCTGAACCATTTCACGCCAAACCACTCTGAATCATTTAAAAATTTCTGCATAACTCATTTGCTGAGATGTAAACAAAATCATTGAGAGTGGTTTGGTATCAAAAGCTCCGTAATTGGTAAAGTTATTGACTCATATTTCTTTATAAGTGAACCTACACGATACGTATGCAATGCATTGTAAAATAGTGCTTCTGGACGTCTGGTTCCTATCACCACCACTGTGAACAGTTCTGACTCGGAAAGTTTCTCTAGAATGGAGCTTTTCACACCAAACCACTCTGAATGACTTTACGTGCATCTTAATGATTTAATTATGCTGAAATAATAATAATAAAAAACCCTTATAATGCAAGAAGAACATTTTTGGTAGCAGCCTCAGACTTTTGTACCCCACTGTAGCTCAGCTGTTTGGTAATGATCACATTGAAAACCCCTTGCATTCATCTTTCTCTTACAGAACATTCTTTCCTCGGTTAAAGTGATGTGAATGATATAAATGCTGGTAGTCACTGCCATCATTTCCAGTAGTAAAGTGTCATTACGCTTGTTTTAAACTCATTTAGGTACATGTATCATGTCCTGACGAAGAACACAACAGTGACTGATCACAACCGCAACTTGCTGGTCGAGACGATTCGCTCCATCACCGAAATCCTTATCTGGGGGGATCAGAATGACAGTTCGGTTTTTGAGTAAGTATTGCCAAGGTCGTGAGAGCGGTGTGCAGAGTCGGTTATTTTGATACTTTGTGTAATCCTGCATGACATGACGTCATTTTTAAATGTTAAATAGAATATTTAAATATTAAAGTTAAAATATTACACAAAAATATTCCAGCTTCCAAACTGCACTTCTAAATATATAGGTATCATATACCGTATCACACTCAACAGTCCATCCTCTGAAACTACCTGCCTTATTACCCCACTTATCTGACTGTTACCCCACTTACCTGCCTTATTACCCCACTTATCTGACTGTTACCCCACTTACCTGCCTTATTACCCCACTTACCTGCCTTATTACCCCACTTATCTGACCGTTACCCTACTTACCTGCCTTATCACCCCACGTATCTGACTGTTACCCCACTTACCTGCCTTATTACCCCACTTATCTGACTGTTACCCTACTTACCTGCCTTATTACCTCACTTATCTGACTGTTACCCCACTTACCTGCCTTATTACCCCACTTATCTGACTGTTACCCTACTTACCTGCCTTATCACCCCACTTATCTGACTGTTACCCCACTTACCTGCCTTATTACCCCACTTATCTGACTGTTACCCCACTTACCTGCGTTATTACCCCACTTATCTGACTGTTACCCCACTTACCTGCCTTATTACCTCACTTATCTGACTGTTACCCCACTTACCTGCCTTATTACCTCACTTATCTGACTGTTACCTCACTTACCTGCCTTATTACCCCACTTATTTGACTGTTACCCCACTTACATACCTTATTACCCCACTTATCTGTCTGTTACCCTGCTTGCCTGCCTTATTACCCCACTTATCTGACTGTTACCCCACTTACCTGCCTTATCACCCCACTTATCTGACTGTTACCCCACTTACCTGCCTTATCACCCCACTTATCTGACTGTTGCCCTACTTACCTGCCTTATCACCCCACTTATCTGACTGTTACCCTACTTACCTGCCTTATTACCCCACTTATCTGACTGTTACCCTACTTACCTGGCTTATCACCCCACTTATCTGACTGTTACCCCACTTACCTGCCTTATTACCCCACTTATCTGACTGTTACCCCACTTATCTGACTGTTACCCCACTTACCTGCTATATCACCCCACTTATCTGACTGTTACCCCACTTACCTACCTTATTACCTCACTTACCTGCCTTATTACCCCACTTATCTGACTGTTACCCCACTTATCTGACTGTTACCCCACTTACCTGCTATATCACCCCACTTATCTGACTGTTACCCCACTTACCTACCTTATTACCGCACTTACCTGCCTTATTACCCCACTTATCTGACTGTTACCCCACTTACCTGCCTTATCACCCCACTTATCTGACTGTTACCCCACTTACCTGCCTTATCACCCCACTTATCTGACTGTTACCTCACTTACCTGCCTTATCACCCCACTTATCTGACTGTTACCCCACTTACCTGCCTTATTACCCCACTTATCTGACTGTTACCCCACTTACCTGCCTTATTACCCCACTTATCTGACTGTTACCCCACTTACCTGCCTTATCACCCCACTTATCTGACTGTTACCCCACTTACCTGCCTTATCACCCCACTTACCTGCCTTATTACCCCACTTTATTTTACATTTCTATTTGTATTTCTACATGTAAATGTCTGTCTGATACTGTCCTCTGTGAGCTCCTGTAACTAAAGCCAGATTCCTTGTATGTGTAAGCAGACCTGGCCAATAAAGCTTGATTCTGATTCTGATTCTGATTTTTAGATAACTAAATTGGGTCTCGCACGACCGCCTGTGATTTATGCCTTACCCTGCATTCACACCGACAGCGACACGGTGTGACATTCACATTACCAGGCTTACACATCAGATTTTTTGCCCTAATGTGACTCAGATCTGATGTTTTCAGAGCTGTCTGGACACGCAAATCTGATCTTTTCAAATCCAACCCGAGCCACTTCCATATGTGGTCCTAGATCAGATACGTATCTGATTTGTGGCCATGTGACCTTAATGTGACACTCACATCGGAATTCATGTCCTGTTTTTCCACTGCGCCATCATTCAGCGTTACCATGGCAGCAGCGCCGAACAGAAGTTAAAGCCTGTAAACGGTGGAAAAGCAGCTCATCTCACCTTTTCTTCCTTTGTCTCGCTCTAATAATGAAGCTGAGAGCTGATCAGAGTTAATGATCTTCTCAGCGAAGCTCGTTCTGCTCGTTAGTTTGTGCTGATGATGCTCGTGATTCATTCACATGACGTTACTGAGTAGGATGAGCTCATGAGGGTCATTTCAGGATGGCGGTTTGTCACATTAATGACAGATCTGAATCACTCCCCTAAACGAGTGTAAACCATCATGTCAGAGAGATTGGATTTGAGCAAAAAATCAGATTTGAGCAACGAGGCATGTAGTGTGAACGTAGCTAAAGCGGCCGGCGGTCATTCATTTTCAATGAGAGCTGGCAATTTCCGGCGACGGAAGGTGGCGCAAACGTTGGCAACGCGAGGTGGGCGGAGCTTAACTTTATGTAAATTCGTCGCAGATACACAGTAATCGCAAAGACCAAATAGCGTTTTCCTCACAAACTGACTGCACAGACAGGGATTAAATAAAAATAAGCACCCAAGCGATTTCTCAGCAGGATTTTTATTTCTAGCGGAAATGCATCTGATTTGTGCTTGGCGTCAGTGAAACCATGGCAACCAACGGTCCGCTCGAGTTCAGAAACGACCACAGGCGATGAGCGACCAGCGATTTGGGCGACAAGGGGCGAAAAGTCGCTGCCGGTGTGAACGCAGGGTACTAGTCAGAGTTTCCTCCTGCATGTGTAACAAACTCCTGACGTGTGATCTCTGTTCCTTTTCAGCTTCTTTTTGGAGAAGAACATGTTCGCGTTCTTCCTCAACATTTTACGACAGAAGTCTGGGCGGTACGTTTGTGTCCAGCTCTTGCAGACGCTCAACATACTTTTCGAGAACATAAGTCATGAGACGTCTCTATGTAAGTGTTCACTGGAGGCTGTGACCTGTGATAAGTGCCATTTACAGTACTGCGCAAAAGTCAGACACCTTTCATTTATTTAATGTCCAGACACGACGGCCATTAAGTACAAGTTCTTCATTTTTAGGAGATGTTTTCTGAGGAGATTAGATATAAGTTAATCCGCTTGCAAAAGGAAGAAAGAGACAGAGAAAATGTGTCTCCTAACAACCACCTGGAAGAGCTGGCAGACCCCAAAACTGCCCCCATCAGATAAACAGCACTTAAAGCTTTCATCTCTGAGAGAGAGGAGAAAATCAAGCTGATCAGATCTGAAAACATCCACAGGTGTTTCTGTCCATCCTTCCACTGTAAGAAGACGACTCAGCGCTGTGGGTCTGAAAGGATGTGTAGCTGTTCAAGAAGAACCTCACTGAGAAAAGGAGACGGACACACCAAACAAAGAAGCTGAACGATGGACTGACCACCCCAGAGTCCAGACCTCAACATCGCTGAAAGTGATTGGGATTGGAGGTCTGCGTGGGACTGTTTTTTCAGTCCCGCTCCCACCCGCACAGTTCTGTCAAGGCGAACTGATCCAATATCTGACACAGTCTATTCACAAACACATTATTCTCTGCTGAAATAACAGGTCAGTCGTGGTCATCAGGCTCACTGTGAGTAACTTCACCAAACGGCGTTTATTCCCAGTAAACACAAAGCAGGAATTAAACCACAGAGCGGCTGTGTTTGGTGCTTTCCTGGGCAGCTGTGGCCGATGGACTGAAGGCTCCACCGTCTCTGTGAGCCACGAGAATCTGCGTGTTGTTCACGTGATCGGCTGCTTCGCGGCTCTTTAGAATGACTTATTTCATTTTAATTGTTTTACTGTTATTTTATATGTATATTCTACTTTATTTAGCCCAGGGGTGTCAAACTCAGCCACTAGAAGGGCCGTATTAAACAATCTCAACAAATCCGTGGGTCAGAGAATACTGTGTTTTTATTTCATTTTCAATTAACGTTTTGCGATGACCTGAACTGGCCATTGTATTAAGAGTGTGTCAAAACCGCAATAGCAAAATATGGGCACTGGTAGACCTTGAAATATTGCATAAATACTCGTACACATTAGCTGCACATAACTGTCTAATCTCTTTAAATGTCCCAGGAGGTGGGATTTTCAAACCTTTGTGGTGAAACCGCTGTCCCATAGACTGTTGTTGGGGGGACGGGGGTCAGAACACACATTATGTTACATTGCATGCTGGGGATTGCAGTGCAGCGCATAATGAAATGGGCAAATATTAATAGAAAATTGATCATTTCGCTTGACTTGTCCTGCGGGCCTTGTGTTCGACACATGGAATTTAAAGTATTCATTCGTTTACGGGATTTCTCTTCATGTGTGCTTGTCCTGCTCCCGCCTGCAGGGGGCTGGTTTCCCGCCCACTCCTGCACACTGAACACTGAAAATTAGTCCCGTTCCGCAAGATACTGTGCAGACCTCTGCTTGGGATTACTTCAGAAAATGCTAATCCAGCTTCTAAGACTGAACTTTGGAGGTGTGTCTGCAGATTCTTTGAGAAACTGAAAGTGAGTCTCCTGAAAAGAATGGAAGCTGGAATGAAATCAGAGAGTGGACACACTGAACACTGAAAAAAACGATATTATGTTTAATTGTTGAGTCTTCTGTGTTGTTTTCTGTTAATGTGTCCTGCGTTTTGTCTTGACGCTGAAAAACGAATATCTTGTACTTCGTGGCTGTTTTGACTGGAAATTAAATAATGACGGGTGGTCACTGACTTTTGCACAGTGCTGAGAACAGTGTTATGATTATTCTCCCCTTTACTGGCTTGGGGGATCTAATGCTTTCTCCTTTTCCCCCAGATTACTTGCTGTCCAATAATCATGTTAATTCCATCATTGTCCATAAATTTGACTTCTCTGATGAGGAAATTATGGCTTACTACATCTCCTTTTTGAAGACTTTGTCCCTGAAACTCAACAACCACACTGTTCATTTCTTTTACAATGAGGTAAGGTGTTTTTGTGTTGTGGCGTGATGACTGGAAGGCTCTGGCCCTTTTGGCAAGTCCTCCAGGTTTCTGCCTGTAGGTTTTACAGCTTAGACCACAGCCAGACAGCTTTAGAGGAATACTTTGTATTGTATTCCCTTAATAACAAAATAGTAATAAAAGCTACAATAAGAATAAACAGGGAATTATTTTGTTATTACTATTATTCAGATTTACGAGGTGATATTTGATAGAATATTCAAAAAAATGAATATATTTGATAGCTGTATCCATAAATTAGACACATTGTGTGCCAGAGTGCCCCTGTCAGTTACAGTGGGCATGCAGGACGAGTTTAAACCAAATTATAAAGGTTGAATTTCCTGCATGGTGTTATGTTGCTCTAGAGTGATGCAAACCAAAATGCTTTGTTAAATATGACCAGTAGTGTTTGTATGGCTCCTTTGTATAGGGGAAGGTTATTGGTGTACTGTAAATGGTTGTACTAATAATTTTCTTTGTTCTTCGACACCATGCTTGTTTGCTGGTGTCGGGAATAAAGGAAGCCTGGAAGGAAGGATTTGCTGTATGAGAGATTTGTGGCTGCAAACTTCATTCACTTCACTGAAGAAACTCATTGTACAGTGCATGTTTCGTTAAAACCACAGCAGCAACCGTAGCAGAAGCTGTTTTGTAACCTTCGCTAACTGGTTTTCTTGCAGTGGAAAAACATGCCATGCAGTCTTGCTCAATTTAACTAGATATTTCAGATAGTGCGGACCTGTTAGAGAGGCAGTCGATTGCCTTTTTTGTTGCGTTCAGGAACTTATGCAACGTGACTGATATGATTCTGTCATGCTGTTTTTTTTTTATTTGTAATTTCCTGACTCTGTTTGTGCAGCACTGTGTCTGCTCAGGGATGGAAATGGGGCCCGACTGACATGAAAATGTGACCGATACTAATATGAAATATGAAATACCTGAAAATTCCAATAACTGATAATGTTGGCTGATATAAATTAAAGTCAACCTGAAACAAAATTTGATATTTTTACCTCCGTTAGTTTGTGACGCTGATCATATTAAGCACGTCTCATCATTTCATGTCATTTAAAACAGGGTTTTTCAACCTGTGGGCTGCAGACCAGGCCGTGAAGCACCCTCTAGTGGTCTGTGAGCCTGTACCGAGGGGGAGGCGGTAGTTCGTAGTGGGTCTTTAAGTCATAAAAACATAAGTGGGGAAAAAAGATTAACTTGGGCCTAATAATAAAAAATCGAAGAATCAAACATTTCCAAAATATAACCAATATAAATATTATTAGAGACGCATAAATAAAAACACCGCAGTCACAGGCTGATTAATCGTCATCGTTTTGAGACGACGCAGCCGGCATTGCGCAGACAATTAGAGGGCCAGAGAGATTTGTCAGGACACTTTCTCCTACTCTGCTCAGTGCGGACCTGTCAAACTTTTTCTTTAGTTCACTCTGTTTTGACGTGTGTGAACACTCCACCCATATTCGGGTCTGCATCAAACAGCTGTAAAGGGTAGAAAAAGAGATTTTTTTTGGACAATGAATTTAAACAAACACTTAAAATATAGGTTCAAGTAAAGAGATTTTATTTCAAGTAATTTTGGGTAATTTTTAGTGATCCATTCATCATAAAATTTGAACACCGCAGCTTTGATCTTTGCACAGTGATTATTTGTGTGTGTGTGCATATGTGTGTGTATGTGTATATATATATATATATGCACACACACACACACACATATATCTATCTATCGCTGTTGTCAGAACAAAACCTTGTATCTCCGAAATGGTAACTTTACAGGAGAAGGAAAAAACATACTCTACTTTTAATGTAAGTCAGTGGAACCAGACTTCTTTCCAAGTCATTTTGGGTCATTTCTGTTGGTCCATTTATCATGAAATTCATGCACAATGTAAAGGACAACAGTTCAAATTATTTCAAAAAATGAAAAACGACAAAAATGGAGATACAAGCTTTTGTTCCGACAGCAGCAGATATAAATATTTATTTATATAAATAGATATATATCAATTATTGATCCATTCATCACGAAATTTTCATGCAATGTAAAGGACCGCTGATGTGTTAACTATGCAGTGATAGTAATTTATAATTGTCGAATATTTTGATTGTATTGTCATATACATTATTGTCCATACTGTCCACTTCTAACCTGAATATCAGCCGATGTTATCAGCCAGATTTTATCTCAGTTGGGCCCTAAATGAGAAAGCTGTAGTAGTAGTATTGGTAGTAGTGATAGTATCTGTAGTAATCACAGTACTAAAGTTGCTGCTGTGCCGCTTTCCTCTCTCTGAGCTAATCCTTCCGTCCGGTGTGGTGCCTCGTTCACGGCCTCGCTCTCTGTCTCCCATGCTTCCAGCACACTAATGATTTTGCCCTGTACACGGAGGCCATTAAGTTTTTCAACCACCCAGAGAGCATGGTCAGGATCGCAGTCAGGACTATCACTCTCAATGTGTATAAAGGTGAGTAAATGAAAAGCCCGGCTCTCTGCTGCAGCTGCCTGCTCTTCCCCCACTGCTCTTAATCACTCTTGTCATGCCTCTGATACTTGGCAATGCTGATGCGGCTCTGCGCCCTCCGTCATGAGGTAACACACACGGCCACGCGCTCACTACAGGTTACGATTGCCTTCTTTACTCTGAGCAACGGTAAATGGTACGAATGGACTTTGGCTATCGCTCCGTCTACATCAGCTTATAAGCGCCTAAGCTCTTGCCTGCTTCTTTCTCTCAGCCTGTGAGTAGCTTCATAATCTCCCTCTTTTCTGGGAATAACGTGGGGTTTGTCAGACTTTGGGCCAACTTTGCAAAAGGTGCATGGTGCAGTAATGTACTGACATGCCCGTTGTTTATCGTCGACCTTGTTGCATTCTTATCTGAATGTGTGTTTACTAGAGATGGCACAAGACCAACCCAGTTATCAGATATCAGCTGATACCGATACCAGTATTTATGTTCTTTAAAACCATCATACTTTGAAAGAAACTGTTTTTAATTGACACACTGTACTTGCTCCACTTACTATATAGGTGCACACAGTTACAGACTGTAGTCCATCTGTTTCTCTGATACTCTGTTAGCCCCCTTTTACCCTGTTCTTCAGTGTTCAGGACCCCCATGGACCCTCACAGAGCAGGTACTATTTGGGTGGTGGATCATTCTCAGCACTGCAGTAACACTGACGTGGTGGTGGTGTGTTAGTGTGTGTTGCGCTTGTCTGAGTGGATCAGACACAGCAGTGCGGCTGGAGCTTACACATGCAATTACACATTTCCACCAGAGAGGTCTCCAAATCCACAAATCCTTACGTAGCGCAACTTTAATTCACTGTATGTTATTATACAAGCAAGTCAGTGATATTTTGGGGGTAGATCCTTTGATACTGGGTATCAGATCGGTGCCATCTCTAGGGTTAACTCGGCAAATGTTAAATGAGCTCCCTGTTGCTCTGTTTGGGTATATGTCCGCCCCCTTTGCTTTACAGCATGTTAGTGTGCATCGGCAGAGCTTTTTGAGGCTCTTCATGTTGGGTCTGTTCATGTGGGTTTACTGTTCATAAAGGTGTCACTGTGTTTTGGGGGTTGTTTGTAGGGACTACAAGCTCTTTTTGCTCAGGTGTGGGGTGGTGGTGGGATTTTGAGCTGTAACTATAAACCTGTAGGGCTAGAAGCTCCACTAGCTCCACTCAGTCCCTTAACCCTATTAACCGTGTGTCTGTTTTCCCTTCTCCCTCTATGGTGACTCCTGTGTGCCTTATTCCAGTGTCATGTAAGTTGGTCAATTTCAGAACTTTAACTGTTTCCTTTTGGTTCTTTTTTTGCTTTTATCGTCTTGTGCCACTTGCCCTGCATGTTAATTTGTAAGTTGTAAACACACAAACTGTTTTTTTTGTGAATGTTTTATGCAAAATTTGATTTCTAAGTACATTACTCAAAAAAAAGTCACAAGTATTGCACCATCGGGTGTCCATGCCTTAATTCAGATCCTTTTCTTTCTATGTGGTGTCAGCAGTGTCTGTTTTTCTGTCGTGCTTTTTTGTTATCTTCTTAAGATGCTGGAGTCTATAGTTCACACAGCAGCAGCACCTTGTAGCAACTGAATCATCATAATTTCAGAGTGCTTAATTTTTTAGACTTTAATTCCAACTTTAGACCTTATTTTCTATACTAAACCATCAAAATTGATCCATTTTGTATTACAAAGCTGTCTATTGTCACGTCCATCTGAATTCCATACGTTTGTTTGTAGAGGGACCATGTCCACAGATGCACCTATTTTCATATGGAAGTTAAACTAATGTTGACTACCCAGAAATTTTTAAGGAAAAGTCCAACATTTTCTTAAAATTTCTGTGTAATGCATCTGTTGAGATGTAAACAGAGAGATTCAGAGCGGTTTGGTGTGAAATGGTTTCCGATGTCTTTACAGTGGTGGTGATAGGAACCAGGGGTCGCCATGACTACAACACAAATATAGACATTTTATTTACTATCCAGAACCACCAGTGAACCTACACGAGTCTTCTGAGTTTATATGGAATGTTGATGATGGAAAATAGAGGAAATATTAAAATAAAAAAATTCTTTGGGGACTGATTTGCTCTACAACACCCTGCCTTAGGGGTGGAGGAAAAATCGATTCTTAGATGCATTGCGATGCGGATGTGGACGATTCAAAATCGATTCACAGATGTCAGTAAACGATTTTCGAAATATTTTATTTATCATGTAATGTTGATGGAACGCAAAAGGTGGAACTTGGAAGTGTGGAAGTGCAGCGCTCGGACAGTCTGTGGCGGCACGTGACAAAAACTCTACTGGAAGAGCGAGAAATCAGACCGGCAGCCTCTTCAGTAAAAGCCAGGTTAGGTCAGCAGTCACAACACAAATGTTAAGAAGAGCCATTTTGTCCTTTCAACAAAAATCAAACCACCTTTAAATGCAGCATTTTATGTCTAGTATGTCTCAGTATGTGCTGATGTCCTAGTATACGTTAAAAAATATAAACAATCTGCTTTAAGCTTTAGCTATAGCCGCTTTCCTTCCATCTCCGCCAGAAAACTTTTCCTCAAAAGTAGAGCAGCTTATTGTAAAATGTCTCTTAATGTTCGACTGTTTTACGAAGCTGAAGTCGCTTCTTATTCTCCATCTTCTTGTTCGAAATGTCCCGTTCCACCTTAAATTCTGCCTGGGGCGCCAGAATGTAAATGCGGCACCATTTAAGGTGGAACAGGGAAATCCGAAAGAAGAGAAGCTGATTTCATCTTCACAACTTTTTAGTGTTTGACAGTCTCTAGTTGCAGTTTTAACTTACCAGGAAACCAACTGCACTGTTTACAAATGCGAACAAGTCCATTCGCCTCCAAATGTTCGTCTTAAATCTCTCTCTTTGCCTTTTCGTTCGATACTAGCTAGACAAGACTGTATTGCTGTGACCCGCAGTCTGCACGCCAGTTCTGAGTCGTTGAGCGTCCAGTCTCAAAGATATTTTACTGACATAGCAATCCTTCCACTCTCTACAACGAGACCAAAACCGAAGTTACAAAAGCAAAAAAATATAAAAAAGAAAAACAGGTAAGACGGCTGTGACGTGCTGCGTGGACATCTGTTGCCACTGGATCTTATGTTACCGTAACAGCGCATTTTTATCACAGATGAGTGGCAGCAGCGTCTCATGTGCTCCAAACAAGAGCCGTGAATGAAAGTCTTCTAGTTCGCTCGCCACATCACTTCCATTTGATTTATTAATAAAAGATATTGGAAGTAAATTCATTATGGATCATTACAAATACTAGAAAAAAAAGATGCATCGAGATGCATCGATAATCATTCCATAATCGCATTGCAGCCTCTGAATCGTAATCGAATCGTGAGGTGTCTAGAGATTCCCACCCCTACCCTGCATGTATCCCTCCACCATGAATATATACATAAATATGTACAACATACATTTTTAAGGTAAAACCATCTCGAGGATCATAAAACATTTTATCTGCTAAACATAAAACATAAAATGAATAAATATAAATAATGTAAAACTAAATTAATATAAATAAAATAAAACTATTTTATCTACTGTCCAAAACCACCAGTGAACCTACACGTGTCTTCTGAGTTTATTAATGTTGATGATGAAAACACCCTGCATGTATCCCTCCACCATAAATAAATTAAAAAATAAATGGATTAAAATACATTTTAAACCAAAACCTAGCACAAAACTATCATAAAACAGTGTCTCAGGCATCAGGCAGTGAATTCATAACTGTGTCATGTAGGAACTTTCTGTGAGGGAGCTTTTAGAGGTGGACGTCTGGTTCCTATCACCACCACTGTGAACAGTTCTGACTGTAAAATGTAGCATTTCACACCAAACCACTCTGAATGACTTTGTCAGTGGCTTTCCCCTTTAATACAGTGTATTTAGTATGTCATAGCTTCTCTTTGTGGTCTCATAAACTGTAACGTCTATTACAGTCCATGCTAACTTTCCCACCAATCCCTGCCTCATACTAGTCGCTGTGACCTTGCAGCTTTCTTGATGAACGCTGATAGCTGGCGCTGCCATTACGGAGCTAAACTCACTGTTCTTGTCACATGACTCCTGCTGCATCAGCCCAAGGCTGCTTTAACGGTGGTCAATCTCATCCTGCTTTGCAGTGGATAACCAGCACATGCTGCACTACATCCGGGACAAAACGGCCGTGCCCTACTTCTCCAACCTCGTCTGGTTCATCGGCAGCCACGTCATCGAGCTGGACAAGTGTGTTCAGACGGATGAAGAGTAAGAACGCTGACTTGGGGGGTTTATTTTTGTCAAATATTTGTAATTTTGGTTATGCAATTACAAAAAAGGGACAGACGAACAATCAAGTAAAGACAAAAAACTTAAAAGGAATTTAAAAAAAATTTTAAAAAAATCAGTAATAATATTTAAGTCACTGTAATTGTTTAAGAAGTCTAAAAAGGTTCTCCTATTTATTCTACATCCTGTTTCTCCTGTAGTGCTTAAAGGGCCCATATCGAGTCATTCTCACAAGACCACCTCAATCCACATCCATAAATCTCTCATTTAATCCCGAATGAGCCCTCAGTTAATGTCATGACCTCCGTGTCATGGGGAGAAAATAACCCACTTTTTAGTCTGCGCACCTACAAAAGATGGTTCTTTAAGTGTTCTTTAGTAAAAGTAGTGGTTCTATATAGAACCATTTCATGCTTAAGAGGTTCTTTGCATGGTGAAAGTTCTGCAGATGGATGGAGAATGTCGTGTATGGTTCTGTATAGCACCAAAAAGGGGTTCTGCCATTGTTACGATGTCAAGCTTGTAAAAATAGCAGAACCATTTTTGGTGCTAAATAAAACCATATACAGCACGTTTTCCGTCCATCTGAAGAACGGTTGCACCATGCAAATTTATTTCCATGAGTTTACACAGAGCTATTGCCTTTGCTAAAGAACTCTTGAAGAGCCATCTTTAAGTGTGAACATTACCTGGATGATTTTAAAGCCCAGGATCAGATTCTTTCCTAAGTAATTGACATTTTTTTCTGATTTTAGGATAAAATGTATAGTTTAAATCAGCCTCTGGGTCTAAAAGATTAAAAGTGTTCACAAGAACTATTTTCAAAAAGGTTCTGTATTGAACAATTTACTGCACATTCTCCATCAATCTGAAGAACCCTTTCACCATGCAAAGAACCATTTCAACGTGACGTGGTCCTGTATACTCGCAGTTCTAGTTAAGTCAAAGTTTATTTATATTGCGCTTTTTACAACAGGGGTTGTCTCAAAGCAGCTTTACAGAAAAATCCGGGTCTGAGCCCCCATGAGCGTCGCCAGTGGCAAGGAAAAACTCCCTAAGAGCAAAAGGAAGAAACCTTGAGAGGAACCAAGACTCAGAAGGGGAACCCATCCTCCTCTGGACCACACCGGATAGCAAACAGTGTTAGTATAAAATATTAGAATACAAAACGGAGAAAAAAAAGGTGGAGCAATGGTTCATTAGATAGTTTGAGTTTATGCAGCAGCAGCAAGAGGGTCAGTTCATGCTGGTGAGGATTGTACAGCGTTGTACAGCGAGAAGCTCCATGCTGGTCAAGCCGGTCCAGAAGGCTGGCGAGCAGTGGCACCCGATCAAGGCAGAAGAGGCAACAGCATCAGACGCACAGGATGGGCAGCTGTTCAACTCGGCAAAGAAAAGGAAACACACAGAGAGTCAGTTCTGTAAAGAGTGACTGATCACAGATTAACAGAGCAGCAGAGACTCCGGCAGGTCTAGATATTACAGCCTCACTAGAATGGAGAAACCAGAAAGGTCGTGAGGCTCCCTGAGAGGTCGGCGCCCCTCCACTCCACCGTCAGCAAGTCTGAGTGAGTGAGTGAGAGCAGCGGGACGACAGCACCAACACTCCCAGTTTACCATCATACTCTATGACCATGAACCCCAGATCAGCACCTTTTATCTAACAGGGAAAACTAATTACCAAAGGCTCCACTAAACAAGTGGGTTTTTATCCTAGACTTAAAGACTGAGGCTGTGTCTGAGTCCCGAACACTGACTGTATGATTATTCCAAAGCTGGGGGGCTTTGTATGAGAAGCCTCTCCCCCCTGATGTAACTTTATTAATTCTAGGTACTAATAGTTCTAAATAGGACCATTACCTTTACGTAAGAACCTTTGAAGAACCATCTTTTTTATGTGTGTAGGGTTTAGTAGATAATGTACAATAAAGACTGGCGCAACAAAATGAGATTAAAGCCAAACAGATATATTTTCTCTCTTTTTTTTTGTTGCTTCTTTGTAACCATCTGTCTTTGAAATTAACATGGACATTTCAATCAACGCTTTAATCAACAGAAGAGAAATAGCTCACTTCAGGGTGGCTGAGGCTGAAACAACAAACACACAGCAGACTAACCACCCAAAACTTTCTTAAACAATCCAAAACAAAATGACAAGAAAATACAAACGTCTTCCCAGCTCCCCGTGGAAGAGAGATCAGAATAAACAGGAGAGAGGAGGTCAGAATAAACAGCACGCAACCCTACAACTCCTCCAAGTCATACAATCCTAAACAGATGGTTCTTCACGGGTTCTTTAGTAAAGAAAATCTAGATAGAGCCATAAACATGTAAAGAACACTTTGGGTCTTTGCATCTTTAAAGAGTTCTTCAGAGTGATGGAGAGTGTTTTATATGGTTCTATATAGAATCTTTTTGAAAAGGGTTCTGTAAAGTGGAAAAAAGGGTTCTTCTAAAGTTACAGGCTTGACATCGTAACAGTAGAAGAACCTTTTTTAAAGAGGGTTCCATATAGGACCAAAAAGGGATTTCCTGTTACAGGTTTGATGTCGTAAAAATAGAAGAACCTTTTTTAAAAAAGGTTCTATATAGCACCACAAAGGGTTCTTCTATTGTTACAGGCTTGACATCATAACAATAGAAGAACCTTTTTTGAAAAGGGTTCCATATAGCACCACAAAGGGTTCTTCTGTGTTTACAGGCTTGACATCATAACAATAGAAGAACCTTTTTTGAAAAGAGTTCTATATAGTACCAAAAAAGGTTCTTCTATTGTTACAGGCTTGACATCATAACAATAGAAGAACCTTTTTTGAAAAGGGTTCTATATAGCACCACAAAGGTTTCTTCTATTGTTACAAGCTTGACATTGTCTGTCAGTCTGAAGAACCATTTAACAATCCAGAGAACCCGTTAATCATGCACAGGGTTCTTTGAGTGTTCATGGTTCTATATAGAACTGTTTGCTTTACTAAAGAACCCTTGAAGAACCATCATTTCTAAGTGTGTAGTTAGCATCATTGTAAGTTCAGGCCCTCCAAAAGCACTTTGATAGACCCACAGCTTTTCAGTAATGTGCAGTAAGTAGTTCACAGTGGCGTTTATCTAGAAGACAGTGATTACACGGCTAATCTGACGAAGATTGAAGAGCTTTTTAAAAGCCCAGACTGCTGTGTTTGAGGTGGTCTGTCGCCAGAGGTGGGCTGTCGCCACACTTGAGCGCCCCGGGCAGCTACTGCTCATTAGGCCAAGGTTTTTCAACATTACGTCATAGTCAGAGACCAACCGCGAAGTACAATCGGGCCAACGCCCCGCACGGCGTGTGGGCCATCCCGAAACCCCAGAATGTAAACTAAACAGAAATGATGAAAGGCAGACCACAGATTTAAATGGAGGTGATATTTAAGCAATAGAACACGAGAGGGAGTGCGTTATCACGAAATAACACACTCCTCCAGTGTTCTACTGCTTTTATACAACAGGTAAATAAATAAAGTAATAAATTAAAAAACTGGGCCGTGAACGCGGCGTTTAATATGTTTTAATGTTCGCAGTTTATAGCAAATTATAGTTCCTTAACGAGCAGCTTGTTGCCACGTCAGAGTAACGAACTCCGCTCACTCGTCTGCTGTAAGACTCGCCTTTTGAAGTGCAGACTGAGCCATAAAACTGCTGCAATATCAAGTTCAGCTCAGTTTTGTCAGTTTTTGCCAGATCAGTATTAATGTTGTTTTGTTCCAGCCAGTCTGTAAAGCATCTTACAGCCTGTTTAGTTTGGCGAATGGTGTTGGGTTCATTTCTGGCAGATTCCAGGTTGTTTAGCTGTTCTTCTGTCTCAGCTGCCGACTGAAAAGCTGCTCAGTGGTGATGACAGTTTGGGAATTTAGTGTCGTCTCATCTTCAGAGTCTGACCAAATCGGCTGTCGGTCAAATGTGATCTTAAAAGTGTCCATTTTCTGTTTGTCTGTCAAAGTCGTTGCTTAGCAACAGCGTCTCAGTGGAGTGATACAGTGTTTGTGAAAAACTTGTGATGTTATGGCGAAATAACAGCACAGTTAGAACACTTCTCAACCAATGAGCTCGCGTGGTCGGAGCTAACTGTTGTATAATAATGAAGAATAGTGCTACACTGTACACTAAAAGACTTTAAAAGACTAAAGTCTGACAGTCTCTCTCATCTAAAGACAGCGTCACAGTTTTTAGTCACAGATTATGATTTTGCAAAGACTGGGAATCTTGCAGTGTCACTATTTGCAAGACTGCAACTAGATTTTTGAGATTATTTCCCATCATGCACCTGGTGGAAACTTACAGGCAGATAAACAGTTTTCCTTCCACTCTGTAGGGGTACAGATGGGAAGATACGCTGGCTGGGCGTGTAAAGATCTGAGGCTCAGAGCTGTTCAGTGTAGAACTGTACACTCTGGCAGATCATCACCCAGAATTTCAGTTAACCTGTAAAATGTGCAGCTACTTTTTTTAATTTGACCTAAAGATTTACACGTCAGCAAAACATGCAGCGATTCAGCATCACTGATTGGGTGTTTATTAACTAAACTGTAAAAAACAAACAAAATAAGAAACCGCCGTAACAGAACATCGATGACTCTTCAGTAATGCCGTTCTTAAAGTCCTCTGTGCTTTTCAGGTGTTACACTCAGAGCACCTGAAATATTAAAACAGCCAGTTTACATTTTTAAGTTAATATGATTTTTGTATTAAAGTGAAGCAGATTTGTCTTTTTTACAGAGATTTCAGGCTCTCGCGCATGCGTCTCTCTCCCTCTCTCTCCCTCTCCCTCTCTCTCTCTCTCTCTCTCTCTCTCTCTCTCTGTCTCTCTCTCTCTCACGCTCTTCTCTCTCTCTCTCTCTCTCTCTCTCTCTCTCTCTCTCTCTCTCTCTCTCTCTCTCCTCTCTCTCTCCTCTCTCTCTCTCTCTCTCTCTCTGTCTCTCTCTCCTCTCTCTCTCTCTCTCTCTCTCTCACTCTCTTTCTTCTCTCTCTCTCTCTCTGTCTCTCTCTCTCTCACTCTCTTTCTTCTCTCTCTCTCTCTCTCTGTCTCTCTCTCTCTCTCTCTCTCTCTCTCTCTCTCTCTCTCTCTGTCTCTCTCTCTCTCACTCTCTTTCTTCTCTCTCTCTGTCTCTCTCTCTCTCACGCTCTCTTCTTTCTCTCTCTCTCTCTCTCTCTCTCTCTCTCTCTCTCTCTGTCTCTCTCTCTTCTCTCTCTCTCCTCTCTCTCCTCTCTCTCTCTCTCTCTCTCTCTCTCTCTGTCTCTCTCTCCTCTCTCTCTATCTCTCTCTCTCTCTCTCTCTCACTCTCTTTCTTCTCTCTCTCTCTCTCTCTGTCTCTCTCTCCTCTCTCTCTCTCTCTCTCTCTCTCTCTCTCTCTCTCTCTTACTCTCTTTCTTCTCTCTCTCTGTCTCTCTCTCTCTCACGCTCTCTTCTCTCTCTCTCTCTCTCTCTCTCTCTCTCTCTCTCTGTCTCTCTCTCTTCTCTCTCTCTCCTCTCTCTCTCTCTCTCTCTCTCTCTCTCTCTCTCTCTCTCTCTCTATCGTGCTCTTGGGCACGTCACTGTTTGCATGAGCCAAGGCTTAAAACTTACAGTAATATTAAACAAGGTTGATTTTGTCGCAGCGTCAGGACGAGAAAAATGCTGATTTAAGACCGCCGTCCTGACCACCTCACACTAAACGATCGAGATGATGCGAGCGCGACGCGACTCTAGCAGGATTTTATTCCAACATTGGAAATTTGTGTGCGACAGTGAAATCGTTTGAAAAGTCTTTTGGTGTGAGGCCAGAATAAGTTCTGGGGTAAAACAGTGCCGTAATCGTAATAACAATCACTATAAACAGTGTTCGCCTAATTTAGTAGGTCAGTTCTGCACTGCAGACAAGCTTGTTTTGGCAGTTATTTCACTTGTGGTGGAATCACATTTGGAGCTCTAAGTTAGCAGTAAACCATTCAGTAAACCAGCTAAACCATGAAAATAAGCTGCAAAAAAAGATATTAAAACATTGCTGCTATCTGGGTACCTAAAAATCCAGTCAGACTAACCGTTCTCATCTAAGATAACACTACAGCACATCCGTCTCATTTTAGTAGGGTAACAGGATGTGTTCATAAGGCTACATGACACCTACATAAGCTCATCACAACAGCTGACATAACCCTATATAAATGTTTATTAATACTGTTTCCAATAGGTATCATTCACTAGAACAGTGACATCTGCCAATTTTGATCAAAGTTAGCCAAAGTAGCCTTTATGACAGATGATGCCTGTTGGAGTAAGCTTTTATAAACAATTATGTAGGGTATTGTCAGCTGCCATGATGAGCTTATGTAGGTGTCATGTGGCCTTATGAACAGAGCCCTACAGCAAAGTGTCACCAAAAGAAATAATGTGTAATATAAATGTATAAACTATTTGTTGCAAAATGAAAACTGGATTGTTTTGGTTAAAAATTTAAATCAAACAAACATACTTAAAATGGTCAGTTATGAAATGTAAAATGATTGTTTTTAGCCCGAGTGTTGGCATACAACATTAAACTTTAAATTTCATAAAAGAGGAGAATTGTTTTTCCGTAATATGGAGTTTCTTGCAATGCAGTGGTCGTCTTTTCCAACGCAAGGCTATGAGACAGTTCTTTAAACCTCTCTGACTCCTTGGAACCACTTCGTCATATTCTTTATTTCATAACTTTCGAATTTCATAAGCTACGTTCAAAAGGTGGGTGTAATATGAGAGCTGTAACTGTTCTCTTTCCAGTCAAATAGATGAGTAATATAATTTTAAACCCTTATAATAAAAGAAGCTGAACTGAACTGAAAGTTGACCGCCCACCAAATCTGAGCTATAAACTGGATCTCAGATGGCGTCTCTTCAGTGATCTGCTCTGTAAAAAAAATCTTTTATTAAAAAAAAAAATACAAAGATTTTTGGCTTTCAGCAGTAAATTGTAAGCATATGACATTATGTTTATGATAATAAATCACATTTTCTGTTATTTTAGGGGAGCTTTTACAAAAATACACCAACGCTTTACATTTGATTCAAGCAGTTACTGAATAATTTGCCTTAGGAGTTGGGCATGTAAATTCAGATGGAAAAACCAAAATATACCCTGAAGAATAACTGGCTAATTCAGTATTAGTTGATAAATCGTCTGTACTTCTCTTTAAAACAGTATTCCTTTAAACTAAACTAGTGGCATGTGTTCATTGTGCCAGCTCACTTGTTGTTCCAAGTTTAAACACTAGGTGGCAGTGCAGGCCAGGCAATATGATGCGTAGCTCTGTGGCCTGTTCAGTTGGCAGCGCCTGGTGTTTGTTGGGTAAAAACGCGGCAGTGTTGTGTAAGAACCGCAGTGCTGTTATTTATACACACTGTTGTTTATTAGAGCCAGTTTTCTCAACCAAATAAGAGATTTTAGGTTAACCCAACACAAATGTGACTCGTTTGGTCCAGTTTCTCAGACCCAGATTAAGCCTTAGCCTAGACTGGGGTTTTAACTCCATTACACCTTTACTAGACAGTCAGGCTCAGTGCACACTTTAAGACACATTTGACAACAAATCTCTTTAATTTAGTTATAATTAGTTATTACTATCAGTTGTAATTAAAATATTACGTCTCTTTTGAATTTGTTTTCAGTTTGATCTGTCGCTGCATTAGATTTTAGTCGAATACTCATGATTTCTAAGTTAGTGTCAACTAACTTTACCTGTCTGGAAAGCATTTTGAGCTGCCATGGTATAAAAAGTGTTTTATGAATAAAGATTATTATTATTATTATTATTATTATTCAATGATGAAACATGATTGACATTGCACTTTTGCAATTTTAGACCAAGCCTACACCCTTAAAAAGGTGATTCTTCAAGAGTTCTTTAATAAAGAAAATGGTTTTACATAGAACCATGTACACTCAAAGAACCCTTTGCATGATTAAGGGGTTCTTTGCATGGTGAAAGGGTTTTTCTGATTGATTGAGAATGGGTTGTATATGGTTCTATATAGCACCAAAAAAGGTAGGTAGAACCCTTTTCAAAAAGCTTCTATATAGAACCATCTACAGCACATTCTGAAGAACCCTTACACAATGCAGCGAACCCTTTTATCATGCAAATGCTGGAAAAAACAACACAAAACTGAGCACAGACAGACAGACAGACGGACAGACAGGTATCAGCATGCATGGCTGTGTTAGTGTGCCGTGGTGTCACTTCCTCGGCCGTATGTGTGTCTGGTTGGATGTCCTGCACTGCCGTTGCGATGTGAAGAACTCAGTGTGGTTCTAGATTCCTCCTGAAACCACACTGTGTTCTTCATACTGCAGACGACACTGAGGGTCATCCAACCAGATACACACGTGGCCGTGTTAGCGTGCTGTGATGTCACTCCTTCGGTCATGTGTATTTGATTGGATGTCCCTCAGTGCTGTTTACAGTATGAAGAACACAGCGCTTTGCATGATTAAAGGGTTCTTTGAATTGTGAAAAGGTTCTTCAGATTGATGGAGAATGTCTTGAATATGTTTCTATATAGAACCTTTTTGAACGTGGTTCTGTATAGCACCAAAAAGCGTTCTTCTATTGTTACACGTCTCTTAAAGATAGTTCCTCAAGGGTTCTTTAGTAAACAAAATGGTTCTACATAGAATTGTGAACTCTCAGAGAACCCTTTGCACGAATAAGAGGTTCTTTGCATGGTGAAAGGATTTCTCACATTAATTGAGAATGGCTTGTATGTGGTTCTACATAGCACCAAAAAGGGTTCTTCTATTGCTACAAGCTTGACATCGCAACAATAGAAGAACCCTTTTCAAAAAGCTTCCAAATAGAACCATCTACAGCACATTCTGAAGAGCCCTTACATGATGCAAAGAACCCTTTTTATCATGCAAAGGGTTCTTTGAGTGTTCATGGTTCTATATAGATGTCACTTCCTTGGTCGTATGTGTGCCTGGTTGATGCCCCTCAGTGCCGTTTGCAGTATGAAGAACACGGTGCTTTGCATGATTAAAGGGTTCTTTGAGTTGTGAAAAGGTTCCTCAGATTGATGGAGAACGTCTTGAATGTACTATAATACTTCTACTATATAGAACCTTTTTGAAAGTGGTTCAATATAGCACCAAAAAGGGTTCCTTTATTCTTAAAACACTCTTAAAAATGGTTCCTCTAGGGTTCTTTAGTAAAGAAAATGGTTCTATATAGAACCGTGAACTCTCAAAGAACCCTTTGCATGATAAAGGGGTTCTTTGCACGGTGAAAGTGTTTTTCAGATTGATCGAGAATGGCTTGTACATGGTTCTACATAGCACCAAAAAGGGTTCTTCTATTGTTCAAAAACATCTACACCACACTCTCCATCAATCTGAAGAACACTTTGCATGATTAAAGGGTTTTTGCATCATGAAAGGGTTCTTTGAGTGTTCATGGTGCTATTTAGAACCATGTTCTTTACTGAAGAACCCTTGAAGAACCATCATTTTTAAGTATGTAGCGTAACCAGTGTCCACCAAACTGGCACCAAAGGTCAGAGTCTTTTGCAGTTTGTACCGTGTTTTAAATGCGTTTCCTCCATCAGGCATAAAAACAAAGGGAAGTTGAGTGACCTGGTTGCAGAGCACCTGGACCACCTTCACTACCTGAACGACATCCTCATCATCAACTGTGAGTTCCTCAATGATGTGCTGACGGACCACCTGCTCAACCGTCTCTTCCTGCCCCTCTACGTCTACTCGCTGGTCAGCCAAGAGCAGGTGAGAACTGGCCAAGAACACACCCACTGTGAGCATTTTATATTGTTATTCCTGAGGCTGTGAAAAAAAATTAAGATTATACAACAGTTAGTTCCGGCCACGCAAGCTGATTGGTTGAGAAGTGTTCTAAGCATGCTGTTATCGTTCTTTTTATTCTTTTTATTTCTTTTATTAGTATTTTTTTTATTAATTTTATTATTGTCAATTTGTCTTACAGCAGCTGAGACAGAAGAACAGCTAAACAACCTGGAATCAGCCAGAAATGAACCCAACACCATTCGCCAAACGTGTAGTCTGATCTTCAGAGTCTGACCAAATCAGACTGAGCTCTAAAACTGCTGCAATATCAAGTTCAGCTCAGTTTTGTCAGTTTTTGCCAGATCAGTATTAATGTTGTTTTGTTCCAGCCAGTCTGTAAAGCATCTTACAGCCCATTTAGTTTGGCGAATGGTGTTGGGTTCATTTCTGGCTGATTCCAGGTTGTTTAGCTGTTCTTCTGTCACAGCTGCCGACTGAAAAGCTGCTCAGTGGTGATGACAGTTTGGGAATTTAGTGTAAGGAGCTGGAGAACGAACTGCCGGCTGTGCAGCGAGTGGGCGGAGCTCGTTACTCTGATGTAGCAACAAGCTGCTCGTTAAGGAACTATAATTTGGTGAAGGAACTGCGAACATTAAAACATATTAAACGCCGCGTTCACGGCCCAGTTTATTAATTTATTACTTTATTTATTTAACTGTTGTATTAAAGCAATAGAACACTCGAGGAGTGTGTTATCGCCAATAACATCACGGCTGTGATCAAATCAGAGCCGATGTATACACACTCAGAACAAAGGTACAGTGTGTACATATTCTTCATCTTCTAGATGATGTATGTTCGTATTTTCAGGTAAAGCGGTGCGATGTTTAAAAAAAAAAAGCCGCGGTATGAAGTTTGAGTTTTACGTTAACGTCGTGTCTTCTTCTGTGAGTTTATTGGCTGGTTGCAAAGCAGAAATCCGATTACTGACTAATGTAGACCAGGAGTTTTTATCTGATTACTCAAGTGCATGTAAACGTGTTGATAGGATTTCTGACAAAATCTGATTTTCTGCGGTTATCGGATTATTGAGTGCATGTAAACGCGCTCACTGAGCTCATCAGTACGACCCATTCTACTGCCAGGGTTTGTGTATCGATGGGTGTGGCTGAAACACCTGAACTCAGTGATTAGGAGGAGTGTCCCAGTACTTTTGTCCATATAGTGTCGTTTGTACCTCGATGAACGAAAAATGTGTCCGCACATCCTAATTTCTGCCAAGCAGCCCTTACTGAGAAAAGGAAATAGACACTCTGAGCAAAGAAGCTGCTCCTTTTCTCAGAACACTAATTGTGCTTAGGATTGTTTGGATGCTGCAAAGCAGAAAATGATAAACCTTCTGAGACAGAAGTTTGGAAGCGAGCGTGGCTGCATATTTCCTGGAAAAACTGAAAGCGAAGTCTCCTAAAAAGAATGGAGAAGCTGCCAAAAATACAAAAAAATTGTATTATATTTAGTTGTTGAGGGTTCTGTGTAATTCTCTGTTACTGTTTTCTGCTTTTGTTCCTGATGCTGAAAAATGCATGACTTGTATTTGGTCATTTTGGCTAGAAATTAAATAAATGAAGGAGGGTTGTGCACAGTACTTTGTAAAAGGCAGTTTGCTGTCATTTTCATGCTGAGAAATCTTTAACTGATGTTATTGAAAGGAATTTGTTGAAGAAAAAAATGCTGTAAAACATGCTATGCCTACACAGTGTTTCCATGAGGCCAATGGTGCGTTCAGATATCATCTTTATCAGCGAACACTTGAACTTTTAACGTGTGGATTGGACCAGATTTGTTGACCTGCAGATATGTTTGCACTTAGAGCTGAAATGAGTAATACATTTTGCTCCAGTATGACATGCCATATGCGCTTTGAGCAGAATAGTAGGTCTAAGTAATAATTATTACTATTTTCGTCATTTACACCACCCACACATTCTGGTGTCTTTCCATTTTCCTTGGGTCTTGGACTGTTCTGTGGTTTGTGGGGTGGTTCGATATTGCGGTAAATTACTCAGTACTGACTACTGTGCTCAAAGCAAGCTGTCCTATTCGAATGCAATTCTAATGACAAACAAGAAGGTTGCTGTAAATTACAGGTTTTAACATGTTAACGTGGACGCTTTCACATATACCAGTGTGATGTTGATGTAAATGATTAACTGTTAACTAATTAACAGTTATTTGACCAGTATAAATGTACATTTAATTTGATTTATTTTTAATATATGACTTCAGTTATTAAAGAATTCAATATTTGTTCATTTTAGTATATATTTGTTAACCCTTTATACCCCACGAGAAGTTTAGGACACTTCTGGATTCCTGGCAGTCAATTTAAACTATACATTTTATCCGAAAACAAGGAAAAATTGTCAATTACTTAAGGATGGATCTGATTCCAGGCCATAAAAATCATGCCACAACCAAGATGGTGCTAAAAAAAAATAAATAGGGTTCTTATAGGGGCCTTTAGTAAATGCAGTGGTTCTATTGAGAACCATTTCATGCTTAAATGCATGGAAATAAATTTGCATGGTGAAATGTGTTGTATATGGTTCTGTGTAGCACCAATGAGAGTTCTTCTATTATTACAAGCTTGGCATCGTGACTATGGCAGAACACTTCCTCTGTCAATCTGAAGAACCACTTCACCAGCCTGAAATGGTTCTAAATAGAACCACTGCCTTTACTAAAGGCCTTTAACCCTAACCCTAACCCTAGATCTTTTTTTAAGGGTGTAGCTGAAGGCTGAACACAGCCGTTCTCCCCGCTGCGATTTCCAGCTCACCACTTTTCTCTGAAAGACTGAGGGAAGTTAGTCAAAGATATTTAAGTAGTAAAGAAAGTTTAAACATTTTTTCAGCCTGTGTTCGGAGAACGCTTGCTCGGAGAAAGTGTTTTTTTCTGTAAAAGCTCCCCTCAAATTAACTTCTTCAGCTCCTTGGGACCACCGGTGGCTCCAAAACGCACTTTGTCATGTTCTTCATAACTTTCATATTTCATAAGCTACATTCTAAAGGTGGGGGTCGTATGAGAGCTGTAACTGTCTTCTTTCCAGTCAAATAGATGGGTGATTTTTAAACCCTTATAATAAAAGAAGCTGAACTCAGTTTTTTTTTGTTCTACTGAAAGTCGACTCATTTTTCCACAAATCTGAGCTACAAACTATAAACAGATGGTGTCTTTTCAGTGATCTGCTCTGGAAAAATCATTTTTATAAAGTAATACAAAGAGCGTCTAAGTTTTTTGGCTTTCAGCAGTAAATTGTAAGCAAACAGCAATATGTTTGATCATAAAACACATGTATTGTTAATTTGAGGAGAACTTTTACCAAAAAAAAATTATTTATATAAATAAATAAAAATGTACATTTACTTCATGCAGTTACTGAATAACTTGCCTTATGATTTGGTCATGTAAATTCACATGGAAAAACCTAAATATACCCTGGTGAATAAGACAATGTGTTTGATGATCATAAACATAATGTCATATGCTTACATTTTGCTGCTGAAAGCCAAAAATCTTAGACACTCTTTGTATTTCTTTATAAAAATAATTTTTACAGAGCAGATCACTGAAGAGACGCCATCTGTTTATAGTTTATAGCCCAGATTTGTGGAAAAATGGGTCGACTTTCAGTAAACAAAAAAATTGTGAGTTCAGCTTCTTTTATTATAAGGGTTTAAAATTACATCACCCATCTATTTGACTGGAAAGGGGACAGTTACAGCTCTCATACGACCCCCACCTTTAGAATGTAGCTTATGAAATATGAACGTTATGAAGTAAAGAATATGATGAAGTGTGTTTTGGAACCACCGGTGGTCCCAAGGAGTTAAAGAGATTAAATAAAGTTTGAAGCTTGTAAATATCACTTTTTACTTTTTGTATTTCAGTTTTTAAAGCTTGAATTGAAAGCCTGTCTTTTATTGTTGTCTTTTTATTGCTTTCTGCTAACCTGCTCAGCCTGCTCCAGTGAGGGCAAAAGATATACAGTTATGTGAAAATGTGAAGTATAAACCAGTTAATGAGAGCCTGTTAGCAGCATCCGGTGATGTTCAACTGGCTGTTCGTCATCTGGTTGAAAGTTATGTGCACAGATTTTAACAGTAACAACGTTCCCGTTCCCGTTCTCTGTCTCTGCGCTTTCGTGAGAGATTTATGTTTCTAACATTCCCGTTCTTGCCAGAGTTTCAGTTTTACTTGGCTGTAATGAGGAAAAAACTGCGTGATCTCCCAGAAATGCCTCGGAGGCAGTTTAATGGGATGTGAAACGCTAACTTAACAAGGAATCGCTTTTTCCGCGACTCGGCCAAAACAGTAATGAACAACACCGGTGTTGCCAAATTAGGTGGGTTCCAGCCACAATGGAGGGGTTTTGGTTGATTTCTGGAGTAAAAGTGTTTCCTTACTAAAGAACTCTTGAAGAACCATCTTTTTTTAAAGGGGTATAGGTCCTGTGCTGTAAGACATGCAACCAAAATGAATGCTGATGAGTGTCAGAGATGGCTTCAGTGACTTGGATCAGAGATGCAGGTGGTAGAACTGCAGCAAACTACTGTTATTTGGAATCAGACGTCTCAGTAACTGGTTTAAAATGAAGGATTTCATCTACTGTGAAACTTAGAACTGTTCTGTAGAACTTCACCAACATAACTGCATCATACTTACTGTCTGCAGATGGTAATTATGTCTTAGGAACTGACTCATAACCTTTGTTTGTCTTTTTTTAGCTTGCAAACTTTTTGCTTAGTCAGCAAAATGAGTCAGACTAGTTCTTCTTGTGTGAATTTCTGAGCCAGCGTCCTGTACGAGTCTCATGTCTTTTAAAGCCTGCCTTGTGTTTGTACAGCTTATAAAGATTCATATTTTGTGTGTTTATGTATGTATATTTATTATGCTACTTACTGAGTAATGTAACAATTAACCTCATGATTAATTGAGGTTTAAAATAGGCCAAATGATAAAAGATGTGTTTAATTCAACAATAACAAGCCATACAGAGCCTTTCAGAGGTTCCAAGATACTTCATTGGCGAAAGATGCCTTTAAAAACACATTAAAGGGGTGTATTAAGCGCAAAATTAGCTGTGCACAGCGTTCCGCTCGTCATAGATGTAGTCAATCGGCCGAGAAATGTTTGGTAACGAACTGCAAGCCATACTGTGTCCTAAACCACATTTACAAGTCTGCAGCATCATAACGAAGACCTGTTGTTTGAGAGAAGTTCTGGGGATGTATGTACAGAAAAGATTTGGGTGACTATTGACTTCTAGTGTTAGCAGTGCTAGCCTTGTAGTAGAACATTGGAATATTTGGTTCTTCGCCAAACAGTTCCTTTAAAGACACTGTGTGGCAAGAAATGCATTACGTAAGCGTGTCTGTCGGGCTGCTTACTACTGTAAGAGGAATTTTAAATATGCATTATCATTTTTTCTTTTATAGCCATATGATGTAATGCAGCTGAGTTATCTTGATCACTGCTTTGTTAATCAGACAGAAAGTTAATTTCATGTTATCCTGTTTTGTCTTTCAGTGTGAAGATCGCAAGATCAACCCTCAGGTGTCACTCTACCTGCTCTCCCAGGTATGCAGCCATACATACATGCTCTGTAATAACAGCTGGAGACTGCTCATTCCCAAGAACAGCCGTCAGCTAGATTTCTGCTTCTGTGAAGAGATTAAGATCTTTTAATCTGTTTATAGAATCCGCTGGTGTAATGAAAGGGGTTTTGGACCTTTGAACATTTTCTCAGAAGAGCAGCTGGGGCTGTTCCTTCTTTCATATCAGAGCCTCAGCCTTTAGCTTAGCTGGGAGTTTTTACCACATCCTTACAAAAAGATTCTTAAGGAACAAGTTTTATTACAATGTGCAAGGGAGCGTCTGCACACGCCACTCCTACAGCTTTATACCCTTCCATTGAAGCCAAAGCTCCCGTGTCATTATGAACAAAGAATGATGTATGATATGCAACGTTTTAAGGTGTGGCTGCGTTACAAGTTTCTACGTTATCACTTCACATTTCTTGGCTGTTTTTGTGATAAAATTTCTTTTAAAGTCTTGATGTTTTAAAGTGCGTACTAGACCCTGGGACCATTGAAAGGGCTGAGGGTGGGTTGAGGATTAAATTTTTTTAAATATTTTACAGTTACTTCATTTTGAACAAGTCTGCATTTGAAACCTTAACCTGCGATTTAAACCTTAACCCGGGCTTTAATGTTGATTGCTGGATTTGTCAGTATAAACAAACAGCAACAATATTTTTTCTTGACGCTAATCACTTGATACTTATCTGTACTTTTACTTTCTTCCATTTCGAGTGAAAACTAGCAGACCGGCTCTGGCAGGAAAGAAGGAATTCAGACGTTTAAACAGTCTGTTGTTAGACATTGAAATATTTTAAATACAAATGCTCTCTATGTTGCAGTTTTACAGTAAAGTAGAGGTCTGCAGTCCCACAGGACCCGCCACAATGTCTTGCAGCGCGGAACTAATTTCCAGGGGGTAACCAGCCCCCTGCAGGCGGGAGCTGGAATAAGCACTCGTGAAGAGAAATCCTACAAATGAATGAACAGCCTAAATAAAGTAGAATGATCACTAAATCATATATAAACTATGTAAAATCATAACGGTAAAACAGTTAAAATGAATGAAGTCATTCTAAAGAGCCGTGAAGCAGCCGATCACGTGAACAGGCAGATTCTCGTAGCTCACAGAGACGGTGGAGCCTTCAGTCCGACGGCCACAGCTGCCCAGCAAAACACCAAAAATAACCGTTCTGTGGTTTAATTCCTGCTCTGTGTTTCCTGGTAATAAATGGCGTTTGGTGAAGTTACTCAGTGAGCCTGATGGCCATGACTGCTGTGTAGAGAATAATGTGTTTAATAGTGAATGTGAATAGACTGTGTCAGATATTGGATGGCAGTTCAGCTTGATGAAACAGCACGGGACAAAACATTTCGGTTGCGGGTGGGAGCGGGACAAATGATTCCGATTTTCAGCAGGAGCGGGATGAAATCTTGCGGCATCGGGTGGGAGCGGGACTGAAAATCAGGAACAGCAAAGCCTCCATAATAGACCCTTTTTTGCACACTTCAGTATTCGAAACAGCAGAAGTTGTCATAGTAGGGAAGACATTCCTATTATGCTGTTTGCGTAATTTTTCGACAAATGAAGTTCCTTTGGTAGAGAGGTTTTCATTTTCAGGGAGGGGCGAGCTTTAGCACCAAAGTAACTGAACATGGTCATGTTAGTCAGCTTAGATAGGAACTGGTCATTTACAGTGTTAGTCAGCTTAGATAGGAACTGGTCATTTACAGTGTTAGTCAGCTTAGATAGGAACTGGTCATTTACAGCGTTGGACACAGTACAAAACAACAGTAACATTAAACAGGGGAAAATGTGAGCTCCTGCTGTGTTTGTTTTCTTTTGTTTCAATGATGCATGCAGAAGCTACTTGAGTGCTGAAAGCGCCCCCTTGTGGGGAGAATCGTCAGCCTGTTAACCATCAGTGAATGAGCATGACAGTAGAGGTCTGCACTCCCACGGATTCTTACGGGACCCGCCACAGTATCTTTGCAGCGCGGAACTAATTTTCAGTGTTGCGTGCTGGAAGTACGGCCACAGCTGCCCAGCAAAACACCAAAAATAACCGCTCTGTGGTTTAATTCCTGCTCTGTGTTTACTGGGAATAAATTCCGTTTGGTGAAGTTACTCACAGTGAGCCCGATGACCACAACTGACCTGTTATTTTAGCAGACGATAATGTGTTTGTGAATAGACTGTATCAGATATTGGATGTCAGTTCGCCTTGACGGAAATGTGCGGGCGGGTTCTGGACAAATGATTCCGATTTTGTGCTGAAGCCAGACTGAAATAACAATCCTGCGCAGGCGTCTGCGTGAGAACTAATTTTGAGAGCAAATTTTCTGAGATGCTTTATATGTATAGTTTTACTTAGAGGGAGATTTCTAGATCCACAGAGAATACTATAAGCACTTTTGGTAAATTTAAGCCACCTAAATTGAAGATTAATTAGTTTAATCCTTGAATGAAGTTTAAATCTTAGTTTAAAGTGCAGGGTGTCCCAAAAAAATTTACATCATTCGAGATGTGAATATCTGAGTAACTACATGTCCAGGCAAACGAAATTAAATAGACTTCATGTTGAACAACACAAGATTTATTTATCAAAATTCAAACAAGAAATTCAGAGGGATGTAGATTTTATAACCGATTTCACAGCTTCACAAATGTAATATGCGCTGCACAGACAGACTTCCTCTTTGAATTTTTTTGTGCCGTGTCTAAATCTGCTTTCCAGTTGGTGCATTTTTATTGAATTTTCTGGAAAATGCCGCTGCACACTCTTGTTTGACTGTGTTTGAGCATATTCTAACACACTAAATACCTTTTCATTTCTAGTGAACGCCATTCTTTAACCTGAAAAAAAAACATTAAAAATTAAACTTGATTAGTTTTTACGTATTTTGTTAAAATCTGAGATCATCTGAGGGAGAATTGGCTGTTATTAGACTACGAAATGATGTCAATTTTTTGGGACACCCTGTAATGGTGCAGCAGGATTAAATTTGATTAGATTTACTGGATTGAAATGATGGATTAGATGTAACTCTGATTCTTTGTAAAGTTTGTTGTAAATAGTTTAATAGATAAGCAGCATGGTAAGGGTTACATTCTGCCCTCTAATCATTAACCTGTTTCTGTTATGATTATATAAAGCTCTGTTAAACATTAAGTCGCTTCCACTGTCAATTTAAGTGCAGCCTGTTGGCTCACTATTGTCATCGTCAATGAGCCATTTCAGGATGGTTCGTGAGGAGTGTTGTAATAAAGTTCTAATGATAGTAGCCAGCTGTGGGAAACCTTTCGATGCCATCTAAAATGACTTAGTTAAGCGGAATTACTATTTTAGTGTTGCTGGAATTAACAGGTCTTAAATTTTCCCCAACACTCATACTTTTTCACAGTAGCTGTAAGATGTCTGCCTTCCTGAAGCTCCTCAGTCAAACTGTGCATTTTTTTTCCATAATGTTGATGGAAACGTGTGATTTGCAGTATCTGAGCTTCATAGGTGAGCGAGCAAGTCAGCATTAAATAGGAGTGATTTAATTGTGTTTAAATGCAGTTTATTGTGTCAGTTGTGCAGGATTGTGTGGTATGAAGAAAGCTGCATTTGTCTGTTTTATCTCGGCACAGCCGTCTTTGTGGAGAGGTGTGAACTGTTTTTCACAGCAGGGGTTCTCACCCCTCCCTTTCCGCCCCTCATTGCTCGCTAGCAGCTCAACACAGAGGCACAACATTTCACACGCAGTTTATCTGATAACAGATTTACAGGGAAACATGTTGTATTTGGTTATATTTATAAAAAATATCAGTCGGTTTCCATTCTGCTGACAGAATGGCCACTGGGGGGCACTGCAGAAAGAGGGTAGCATATGGATGGACGATATGGCAGAAATATAACATCACAACACTGTAGGACATTTTCACAATATGTGATCTGCTTCGTGACGTTTAGTTCTTTTGAGGTTTAATCATTAAGATCAGACATTTAATATGTCAGAACACGTTTTAAAAACACTGTTAGAAGCTTTGAAGATGATATTTATTCTCCGTTTTGCACCTGTGCTGCACTCATTCCAATTAATCAGGACTAATAATTCTTTTTTTGTGGTATTATCATATTTCTAATTAATATTTAGAGGAAGATACAACTCCTTTCTTTCCTCCACTTCATGGATTAGTTTCTCATTTGTGTTGAGGTGGACCATGAATATGCAACGAAAAAAATAAACGATGCGTCCATCAAAATAGTGCATCGCTCTCTGGCGCTTCAGGATGATGTGGACAGCTTTATTGATTGTAAAGGAAGTTTTCTGGTCGTATCGTTGTGGCTCGGCCTCTTCGCCAGCAGTCAGGAGGAGATGTTACAGTTATTTTACCTTTTTTATGCTTATTTTTATTTTCAAATGACTAACAAACAACATCAAATGTGCCGGAGGGTTACATCTTACAGGAGGGAAAAAATAAATAAAAAAAAATAAAAATAGAAATAAAAAATAAATAAATAATGCACTTACAATCCAGAGTGTCAGCTTTTAAACATACACCGATCAGGCATAACATTATGACCACCTCCTTGTTTCAGGACCCCCATGGACCCTCACAGAGCAGGTACTATTTGGGTGGTGGATCATTCTCAGCACTACAGTAACACTGACGTGGTGGTGGTGTGTTAGGGTGTGTTGTGCTGGTACGAGTGGATCAGACACAGCAGTGCTGCTGGAGTTTTTAAACACTGTGTCCACTCACTGTCCACTCTATTAGACACTCCTACCCTATCAGTCCACCTTGTGGATGTAAAGTCGGAGACGATAGCTCATCTGCTGCTGCACAGTTTGTGTTGGTCATCCTGTAGTCCTTCATCAGTGGTCACAGGACGCTGCCCACAGGACGCTGCTGGCTGGATATTTTTGGTTGGTGGACTATTCTCAGTCCAGCAGTGACACTGAGGTGTTTAAAAACTCCAGCAGCACTGCTGTGTCTGATCCACTCAGACCAGCGCAACACACACTAACACACCACCACCACGTCAGTGTTACTGCAGTGCTGAGAATGATCCCAAATAGTACCTGCTCTGTGAGGGACCATGGGGGTCCTGACCACTGAAGAACAGGGTAAAAGGGGGCTAACAAAGTATCAGAGAAACAGATGGACTACAGTCTGTAACTGTAGAACTACAAAGTGCACCTATATAGTAAGTGGAGCTGATAAAACGGACAATGAGCACAGAAACGAGGAGGTGGTCATAATGTTATGCCTGATCATACAACAACAGGTATCTCACAAGTTGAACCAGGTTAGTCTTGGTCCTTTTCGAAGTAGGCAAACAGAGGACCCCATACTTTATGAAACTGCTCTAACTGTTCATTGTTTAAAAATTGCAGCTTCTCCAAATGCAATATATTGATTAGTTCCTTTATCCACATTTCCTGTGTTGGTACTGACTCGTTTCCACATTTGTAGTATGTTTTCTTTTTGCAATAACCATACTAAAGAGAAAGGGCTGCCATTTATGTTTCTCCACAGTTGCTGAGTCATTAATTGTTCCCAGCCCAGTCCAAAGAGGATTAGGTTTCCAGTCCCTTCCGAACGCTTCTGACAGGGTGTTAAAACAGTTTTATTTACCAATATCGAACTAATTGCTTTATGTGGTTACTGTTCTGTCCACAGGTGTTCCTCATCATCCACTACCAGCCTCTGGTGAACGCGCTGGCCGACGTTATTCTGAATGGAGACCTGTCCGTTTTTTCACCTCAGCCGGAGCAGAACACACTCAAGAGCTCAGTGAGTCCCCCTGCAGAACACAGACACACACACACACAGTGGGGCCCAATCTCGTTTCTCATTTTTACCCCTACCCCTTGCTTTTGAGTGTCACCTAACCCCTTGGAGCTGAGTTACAGGGTAGTGGTTGAAATCTTCCCTCTGAAATGGGACCCTCGAATAAAAAGAGCATCACTTCATTAACAGCTACCAGCGCTGCTCTGTAGGCGACCCTGCCAGTCTGCAGTGACAGCAGAGGAGGGTAAAGTTCAGCTCCTCACTGCTGGGCTTTAGTTACATTTAGGGCATCATATGATCTTCAAAGAGGGGGGCAATTATTTATTATCACCCACCCCTAATTCTTCAGTGATATGAAGCTGAAGTCAGATATTCTCCAGCTTCTTGTTCGAAGTTTCCCGTTCCACCTTAAATGATGCAGCAGTTCTGATGCCTGAGGTGCCAGGATGTAACTGCTGCACCATTTAAGGTGAAACGAGAAATGTAGCTGCCGAGACATCAGCACTTCTAGCGATGTTTTAGGCTTGTCATGAGGGTTCTGTACGTGGTGAAATGGTTCTTCAGACTGATGGAGAACGTGCTAAAGATGGTTCTATATAAAACGTTTTTGAAAAAGGTTCTATATAACAGCAGAAAGGCTTCCTCTATTGTTACGATGTCTAGCTTATAATAATAGAACAACCCTTTTTGGTGCTATATAGAACCCTTTTCAAAAAGGTTCTATAAAGAATCTTCTACAGCATGTTCTCCATCAAACTAAAGAACATGTTTGTGATGCAAGGAACCCTTAAATCATGCAAAGGGTTCTTTGTGTGTTCATGGTTTTATATAGAACCATTTTCTTTACTGAAGAACCCTTGAAGAACCTTTTTTTTTAATGTGTAGTGTACTTCATACATATACTGTATGAAGAGTTTCGTTCCAAATGCTGTTTGCACATTTGTTGCAAGAAGAGTAAGAAAAGAATGACATAAACACAAACTTCATTAAGTCCACCTCCTTGTTTCTACACTCACTGTCCATCTTATCAGCTCCACTGACCATATAGTCTCACTTTGTAGTTCTACAGTTACAGACTGTAGTCCATCTGTTTCTCTGCATACTTTGTTACCCTGTTCAATGGTCAGGACCCCCACAGAGCAGGTACTATTTGGGTGGTGGATCATTCTCAGCACTGCAGTAACACTGACGTGGTGGTGGTGTGTTAGTGTGTGTTGTGCTGGTACGAGTGGATCAGACACAGCAGTGCTGCTGCAGTTCTTAAACACCGTGTCCACTCACTGTCCACTCTATTAGACACTCCTACCTCGTCAGCCCACCTTGTAGATGTAAAGTCAGAGACGATAGCTCATCTGCTGCTGCACAGTTTGTGTTGGTCATCCTCTAGTCCTTCATCAGTGGTCACAGGACACTGCCCACAGGACGCTGTTGGCTGGATATTTTTGGTTGGTGGACTATTCTCAGTCCAGCAATACATGTGAGACATAAATTTACACACAGCTACTGTGCAAAAGTCAAAGACTTCCAGGCAGGATGGTCATATGTAACACTACTTTTTTTGCATTTCCTGTCAACATGGTCAGTCACCATTTCGGATCAGCAAACCACATAACCACATAAACAGAACTTAAAGATTTGTAAATCAAAGAAGCTGCTGGTGTTCTCAGAATAATGGACTGACCACCCCAGAGTCCAGACCTCAACACCACTGAATGTGTTTGATTACTTCAGAAAATGAGGTGAGTCTGCAGATTCTTTGAGGAACTGAAAGTGAGTCTCCTGGAAAGAATGGTAGCTGGAATAACGGGAAACTGCAATATTATATGCAGTTGTTCTGTGTAATTTTCAGTTATTTCAGTTGTTTTTGAATAACTTAATGTTTAACGACCATTTTGACTGGAAGTTGAATGGATGACGGGTGGTCTCTGACTTTTGCACAGTACCTGTGTGTAACTTTATGTTCCATATGTATTACGAATGTATGCAACCACAGTCACAATCACAGTCCTGAGCCTGATCTTAACCGCTTACATGGCCAGGTCCTACTGGTGGGCCCAAAGCTTTATTACACACTTCTATAACCTAAGAATAGCTCAGCCAGTTTGCGTAGTTGCTGAATAATAAGCCTTAGTATGTAATAAGCCTGGGGTTTTAAGGGGTTAACCTCAGTGACCAAAAAGAAATGGATTGGGCTCTTTGTTGGTCCTGTAGGTCACCCCTGTTTTTTCACTAGATTTTTTTGTCCTAATATTTGTATGAAAGGTAACACACACACACACACACACACACACACACACTCTAAATGACAGACATGAGCCTTCTCCTAGTTTCCTTTTTAATGGTTTGAGTTATTTAAAGTAATACAAATGTTCGTACAGGTTTTTTTTTCACTTACAACGACAGACTCACAGAGTGTGAGAGGTCACATGAACACACACTCCTTCACCCACTTCCAGCACACACACACACAACACATACGTAACACACTCTACTCACATAAATCAGGTGGTAACAGCAGCATTTCCACCGTATGATCACAGGCTTTTGATATACTTGATGATACTGCATGAGCTCTGCCTGCTGCCCTTAGTTTTGGCTTGTCTTTGAGTCCGAAAAGCTCCTTCCATGCCAGGTTCTTACGCTTACACTTCATTTTTTTAATTAAAGGCCGTGTCAGTTCTTGTTACGTTGATATTAGCTCTACACCCACGACCCAAATTTCCCTGTTCTGAGCGCTGGGAAAATCTGATACGCATCCCGATATGTGTCAGCACTTTACACCACACTCATTTTATAACACCTGATGTCATGCATGTCCAAGTACCTCAGACTTCTCTTGGACTTCCTTGTATAAAAAGTAGTTTATATCGTGTGTCATTTTGATTTACGCTCTGTGTAATGTAATGACAGAAATTTGAAGAAAAGTCCTGCTCTGTGGTTTGGGATCTGTGAGGGTAATGATATCCAGGTTTTTTTCAGTCTAAACTGTCTGTGTGTCGTGCGTTCAGTCGAGCGGAGTGAATCTGAGAAAGACTGGACTGACAGACGTAGAAAACTTCCCTTGCCACAGCCCCTTAGTAATTTCACTAGAAAAAGGCTTGTTTGTAATTGAAACTAGAGATATGAAAATGTTGTGACCAATACCAGTATCAGTTTAAGGAGCTAAAAATTCCAGTAGCTGATAGTATCAGCAGATATCATTTTATATGGTCAAAAAAACTCCAGGAGTTGTAGATAAACAAAGTTTTTTGCTGGCTGCTGTGACGTCACCTGTGAAGGGTCAGATATGATAACCAGTCCTCAATTGTTGGAAACTCAGAAAATAATAATTTCACATAATATGAATAATGCATTTATATTATTAAAGTTAATTTGTATTTTAATATGCCATGCTCACGGTTGGGAAACACATATTAAAAAAACAAACAAATACAAACACACAAACAAAAAAATATATATGTGTGTATGTATATATATTTAAATACTTATATAAAATGACTTGGAAAAAATTCTGGTTCCATTGACTTACATGTTTGTTTTTATATATATATATATATATATATATATATATATATATGCATATGTGTGTGTGTGTGTGTATGTATGTATATATATATGTGAATGTGGGTGTGTGTGTTTGCAGTGCAATCTGCCACAAACAAGGGTTCCCCCCTCTTAAACTCCGCCCCCAAGTTCCTCTAGTCTGTGACCTTGTCTGATGGAAGGTTAATGACACGAGCAAAACATGCTAGCCAGTGAAACGCTGTCAGAACGTTTTCTTTCTGTAAGAGGTGATGTCAAGTTTTTAATGCATATACAATGTTTTCTCTACATGCTTAACTGGAGGTTTTTTGGGCATTTTTCAGCCATGATAACCTATGTCCATGTCCATGTGGAGCTCAGTTCACTTTTTATTAGACAGTCAAGCTCAGCGCTCACTTTTGAGAAATGTTTGAAAACATAGCTCTTTAATCTTTTAGTGTAATCTTAGTTAGTGCTTCATATGTTTCAATTCTTGCTCTAAACTTTCATTTATTCATTTATTTATTTTTCTTATATTGTTTTTACTGGAAGGTAACTTTAATAGAAGAAAATCAAACTCTACTTCAAAGCTACACTATGTGGGTTTTAGGGATTTGGAGACCTCTCTGGTGGAAATGTGTAACTGCACGCAGCTTTTTGAAAACGTGGGTTGTGCTGCGGACCCCTTCCCGAGGGGATTAATCTGGCGATTGCGAGCGCGTTGAAGGAGTAAAAACTTGGTGAACGAGGATGTGAGTGAATTATCTCCTATTGCCATCATATCTTCATCATTATAATGTTGATTTTGGGATCATTTGAGACGTAAATGTGATTTTTAATACGTAAAGACGTGGGATGTGGTGTGGAAAACTCAACGCCTCTGAGGTTTAGATGATTATTTCAGGCTTTACCAGGGTGACTCACAGCAGCGCACACTCTCTATATTATAGCCTGTTTTTATTGTCCTCACTCAATAACAACACTTCTTTCAGTTATAACAAAAAAGTCTTACATAGTGCCAGTTAAATTTCTTCTATCACTGTATGTGAAGCACTTTGAGCTTCCCCTTGTATAAAAAGTACTCTTTAAATAAGTATTATGATTTAGTCATATCTGGAAAACCCTCCCTTCTTTGACCTCTGCCACCACTTAGCCTCGCTGCTCCCAGACAGCGAGAAAAGAAACTTTGATTGTGGCTTGTGTGCGCTTTTGTTATTCTCATGAGCGTATTTACATTGAGGTAACAGGGGCAGATAAGGCTGCCTGTATGGCTGCTGTTTGTGAGTCTCTTTGAACTCGTCCCCAAAGCAGACGTCAGTGACGTGTGTAGGCGGCTCTGAAACTGGTCGTGTGGTGCCGTCCCGTAGCAGATGGATTGTGTTTTTCTGGATGTCAAAACCCCGACCGGGCCATGCATATGCACATATGCAAATAATGCCATCGTGTTGTACCGAATGGTCCGATTATGCAAATGCTGTTTT